GGCTGCTCGTGTTGAGGTGCCCAGGCTCTGCTCTCAGCCCCCTATCCATCACCTTATCACCATCACCTGCCTGAGAGGCTCCCAGGCCTACCAGCCCCAGGCCTGACTTCCCTACCTTCAACCCATTCCCTTCTAGGAAATTACCCGCTGGACCTCTTCACTTAGATGCCCTTAAGCCCTTCACACTCCACGTCCTGTATCTGAATGCACAGGTAGCTGGCACACCTGCTCCTGGTTGAGGGCCCCAGGTTGCACAATCAGCACAGGACCATCTGCGAAGTTGCCCGAGCTGAAAGCTGGAAGCAGCCCAGGTCCTCTCCACCACTTCTCAGTCCATCCAATCAATCCCTAAGATCAATCAACTCTCCCTCCAAATAAGTAAACCCTAACCACTTACAAACTTACATTGGCAAGGCCTTCTGGTTTCTCATTACACCAGGCTTTGAACATGTTGTTGCCTTCTTCTAGATTCTAGAACATTCCCACCAGCACTTAAGCCTCAGTTCCTCAGGGAAACTCCTGTCCGCCCCCACACCAGAATACACTGGGCTTATTTGGGGTTATTCACCAACTATCTGCCCCTACCCCCAAAACCAAACGGTGATATACAGGCTGGTGTCAATCCTAGGACACAGCTAAGTGCCTTGCACGGGGCAAGTCTCGTATTAGTCTCGTATTCCGTAGTCCTTCTATCAGCGGCCCCAAGATCCCCCGCAATGTTCTTTCTCTTCAGAGTAGGACTTTTCCATTTTTAAACTGTGTCCAGGATTAACCACTTCTTCTGCAGGAAGTAGGGTAGGTATTTCAAGTTCATGGTCTTAACCCGACAAGTAAAGGAGAGCGCAGCCTCGCTCCTTGTACCCAGTCGCCGCTGGCCCCCAGAGCGAAGGAAGCAGAGCTCGCGTCAGCAGGTCTGGGCTGGGGAGGGAGGTTGGTTGGCAAGTATCCACACAGGAAGGCCTCCGACTTGAATCTTCTTGGCCACTGCACAATGGGCGGGAGGCGCCTTCAGAAAAGCCGGTCTCTGCCAAGGCCGGCCGGCCCGAGGGGGAAGGCCTAGGAGCGAGCGGCCGTGGGAGGCAGACGAGTGCCGTGTAAGCAGCCCGCAAACAGCGAAACTCTGAGACCAGATGGGAGGATGAGACTGGGCCGGGCCCACGCGACCCCAGGGGTGCGCGGCCTGTGCGGGACTCCTGCGGCCAGGCCCGCGCACCGGCTGTGCCCAGTGCAGCTCGGGCGGCCGGGGCAGGCCGAAGCCGGAGAGCTGCCCGGAGGCAAGGAGGCCAGCCCGGTTTGACTCACGAGTAGAAGGCTGTTACCTGAATTTCAGGTGTGTGCTGGGGGGTGGGGGGTAATGACGGCACCTCCCAAAAGAATTTTATCTACCTCAGGTGAACACTTAGATCCTTTATTAGATCATTTTCATCTTTTTCCAAAGCCACGGCCCATGTAACGCACATGTCCCCATGAGGGAACGTCAGTCCTGTATATTCTAACGCAGATGAACGGGCCAAAAAAAGCCCTAAGAAATGTTTGTCCTGTTCGATCCAAGGAAGGGAGGATCCCCTGGGAATGGAAAAGAGATCACACCGAGGGCGCCTGAGCGGGTGGAGGTACACACTCCCCTAACATAGCAGCAAAGTAAATCAAAAAGCAAAACACAGCAGCTGCTAGTTCCTTAGTGCTTTCGAAGTGTGGATTATAACCAAGTACGTTCTGAAAGCTTCCCCAGTATTACCGGGCCACTGGACTCAGGACGGCCAGGTCTAACCACAGCGCCGTTCCATGGTTACTCCTCGAGACAGCCTCCCTCGAGTTGCAGAGAAAAATTCTACTTAAGTCATCCTTTATAAAACATTTAAATATACGTTGTATCAAAGCGAACTACAAAACAGACCTCAAAATTCTAAAAATAGATGGAAGTAGCAATTTTAAGTGGTAAAGTTCGCATCCTGTTACAGACGGAAAACTGAAAAATAATCCCGTTTAATCATTCACAGAAAACACTGTACTCACCCTGTTTCCCATGGTGTCCGCTGGATTCATACAGAAAAAGCAGATTCATTCGTGCTGCAGACTCGGGCTCTACATTTAGTCACGGACTGTACTGACGGAGCGCTCCCCATACTGTGCTAGGATCTGTTGGCCAGCTCACGGACGCCTGCCTCGAGTCCAATCTAGTGGATACTACAGTTATTCCCAGTAAAGGGACTGGCCCAGGATTAGACCCCAATTCTAGAGCGGAAAACCACAGTCGCTGCATCACGGAGCCTTGCCAGACGTTTGCTCGCTCAGACCAGTGCCCTGAGAAGCCTCCACTGTTTGAGAGGCTGAGACACTGAGGACCAGGTCCCAGGCCCGCTATTGGGAAGCTTGGCTCCTGTCGTTCTCAGGGGACCTCTGAGAGCTACCAAGAAGATGCCACATCAACCCGCTTCAAAAAGGGAAGATGACAAAAGACACAAATTGTACAAGTTTTATATATTTACAGCTGGTAATTTCTGCCTCTCTTGGGGGGGCTTGTTTGTAACATTTTATAGTGAATGCAGTGTAAGTTGTGAATTTTAATTGTCCATTTATGTATTTTACCTTGTTCAATTATATATTAACATCTGTGTATAAAAACTTCAAATAAACTATGCAAAGCTTCCGTTCAGACTCAGACGAGCCACATGCATCTTCCTGCCCTGAATCACGCAGAATCCCCCGCAGAGATGCCTTAAAAACGTGATGTCCAGGCCCCACCCCCATTTCCTCCATCCTCCGCCAGCAACTTTCCCATTATTTTACCTCCCCATTTAACAAATGCATTTTATTAGCCAAGATGATTCCTGCTCTGGCACCCCACTCCTCCGAACCCAGGTGAGCCTGGACACGCGATGCCCGGTGAAAGCAAAGGGAAGCCTGCGGAAGGTTCACCTGTGCCTCGGCGCTGCCCTGAAGCAGTGTTCCCAGGTTCTACCGTGGAAGGCAGGCAACTCACGACAGGCCAAAGCTGAAGTTCACACACTCCACTAAATTTTTAATCGAAGGACATACTCTCACAGCGGGCAACCATGAGAGACCGCATACAGAAACCCGTGGCATCCAGGTACAGGTGGCCGCGATCTAAAAATAGAGCATTTTCTGAAAGCTTCCGTAAGCCCCAGCAGCCCAAGACTTACATCAGCACTTGTTCTCACTGACTGCAAGAGGATTTTCGCTCTTAAAAGAAGCTGATACCATACTAATGTCAGTCTGTCTTACGAAAGTAAAGGCAAACATTTGGAAAGCACGGGATCCTCACACCTGGTTATCATGAGTGTGCTTAAATCTGAATGTTTTCGTTGGGGAAATAGCTTTTTGTCCTTTGAACAAGATTAGGGTAAGAAATTGGGAAAAAACTAATGACACATACCTCGTGCTCTCCAAAAGTTACGAGGAACACCCCGGTTCTTTGTCCTTCCTCAGCTCAAGCAACTCGAACCTGGGACCGTGGGTGTCCATAACTCCAGCCAGACACACACACACACACACCGCCCACCCCCTTTCCCCCCTCCCCCAATGGTCCACTTACCTTACTCAGTGAGTCTGGCACAAAAACACCTAGTGTTTTGAACACTGCTTAAATACATAATAACGATCAGTACAGGGTGAAGGCCAGACAACCCGAGGACGACTCTGGTGGGCACACTGACAGGGAGCTGCTATCAGTAGAGGGACAACGAAGAATAAAATAAGCTATTTTCTTAGGCTTTCTTTTCTTGTTCTGGCTCCTAAAAATGACTCCGTGTGTATTCTCACCCTAGAAAATTAAGTCTAGGGAAGGAGATCCAAGATTAAGAAAATGAGAACGTCTGCTCTACTCTGACACCTAAGGCTTCTCAGTGCTGGGCTACCAGCTATCCCAGGGAGGGTTCTACGAAATCTAAACACAGTCTCAATATACCAAAGTCAGTGTTACCCCAGCCTTTATCTTAAAATCGCAAATGGTCTTCATATACGGCACGAAAGCCAGCCTATTAGTTATGGTCGCTATGACAAGAATGAATATAAAAATGAGTACTGAGCTTGGTGTATTCTGAGACTGAACAAAGCAAAGGCCAAAATGAAATTGGGGGACCTGGAAGAAACCGGGCATTTGCTATCTCGTCTTTGTAGTTTATGTACTTCCCTATTGTAGGACTTATTTTAACAGTAAGTTAACACAGGAACTGGAAAGGAGGGTATGGCGACAAACTCAGTAGGCATCCTGTGGTCCTTCTAGAATGACCGCAGCCATAATGATTTTTTTGCAGAGAGTTCTAACACTTATCAAAATAAGCCTAGGGTTTTTTGAAATCTGATACCATACAAAATGTGCCACTTACCTAAGTAAGTAAGCTCATAGCCTAAGAAAAAACTAAAGTTTTTCTTTCTTACATGTTAAGTCTAACTCTGTGTGATCAACCTGCATTCTACACAATCGGAATGAAAATTTTAAGTAAGGGTTTTTTGGCCTTCTTGACAGGCACCTTAATACACACTTACAGATTAGTTTATAAAAAGAGAAGACTTTAGATCAGACATGTGTGCACTGTGGCAAGAGTTTCAGACTCTGTACAACAAAGTCCCTGACTCGCCCCCATACGCGGACCTGGGCAGAGGAACAAGACGTGTATTTCCTCTTGCTTTCCAGCAGGTCAAAGCCACAAAGAGAAAACCACTGAACCCCCACAGCCATTCTGAACACTACAAACTATTAGCACTTTGAATCAGAGAGAAAATGAATATAGTTAATCACTCACAGAGAGAATCCATCTTAAAATCAAAACGTTCAAAATCAAGCCCTCCAATCTTGACCTCCCGAGATCTGGGACGTCTACCTAGGTCAACGTAAATACTATTTTCCTCTTCACACCTCTGACCGAATTTACAGTCAATATACCTACCAGACCATTACCTGAACCAGGTTAATTGCATAGGAAGATTTTTACTATGTTTACATTTTTCTTAATTTTAAAAAAGCATAGTAAAGAGTCTGAGGACAAATTATTCAACTGTTTATCATACATAAGACCGCATGACTATGATACAAAGGGGGGTTCTTTTCATTTAACGTTACAATATACACAGCAAGTCCGGACCAGATCTTACAATCTGCACACAGGTATTTAACCTTTTCCATGCTGTTTATGTTTTACAATGCACAGAAGTCCTGTAACCAAACCGTGTAGTAAAGCACACAAAACTGGACTGTAACATAACACAGTATGCAGAAGCATTGGATTTTATGATTTCCTTTATGTAAGTAGCGGTTTAAAAACTGCTTTTGTTTTTTTGGTGCTTGCTAAGATGTGGCAACCAGCACAGAAAAAAATGACCTGACCCAAAGAGTGTCTTCCCCTTATATTCCTAAACAGCAGTAACTACTGATTCCTTTTGATATTGCTATACTCAAGGTGGTATCCTTTTATTCACTGTAAACCTTTATGAACTACCAAGTTCAAAAATCATCCACAGGCTTGACATTTAATTACAAAATATGGATTTCCTGATTAACAACAAAAAAAAAATTTGTGGATTATAAAAACGGGTATTTCCAAGTTTCCATTCACATTCACATAGTTTTAAGCCTTTCTTTTGTCACTGTTTACATATAAAAACCTGTTTTTGTTCAGAAAAAATTGACCTAGTCAGCCACATGGAACTGACCAATAAAAAGTAATGTGGTGTTCTGCTGAGTTGTTTTGAACAGGGTTATCGGCAGAGGTAGATTACTGCTTCTTTCCTAGGCTTCTTTTGATCCTGGACAGATAAATTACTTATCTTCATTCTCCCAATTCAACCGCTCAAAAGTATAACACCCTAAAATTGGTCAATTTAAAATGGGAACACAAATTTAGCAACTGCCAGACTGTGTTACATTAAGGCAGCGTAATCTCAAAACTAGGCACCTGTTAAACACCAGCCTGTTCACTTCAGGTCACGCATGAGAGTTCTGCTTTACTCGTGCTCGTATTCTGGACCTGTTGGTGCAATCGAGGTCTTGCTTTCAAGTTTACAAGTAGGTTAATCAGGAATAAAGAATCAGCTGCTGGTTCCATAGCTTCTGGATCCAGTGTCCCTTTACCTTCAGAAGCCTGAACACATTTAGAATGTAACAGATGTTGTAATCTTGAATTAGATGTCAATCTATTATGCTCAGTACACAGATTGCTGTAGATGTATTGGCTATGGATTCAACGACAGTTCCAGTTTTGTTTAAGCAATAGTACAGCCATAATTTTCAACTGACATTTAAAAATGGTCTAGTTACACCTTGTGTCAAAGTGCAGAACTGCTACATTATTGGTTACAGACATCTATGTGCTATAAAAACAGCTTTGGTACAATAAATTATCAAAAAAGAAAATAAATTTTTGTAAAATTCACAGCATAATTGTGAGGCAAAAAAGCAGTCACATAAAATTCTGCATTTTTTTTTTTTAAATGTTCAGGATGAACAGAAGACATCTTTGTGCAGAAGAAATGGTGGAGATACCACGTGCCGAGGAAAAAAGCAAAAAAAAGGAAAAAAAAAAGAAAGAAAGAAAAAGGGAAAAAAAAAGTAAAAAGCAGGAAGGGACACAGCTGTAGCTATTTCCATCAAAGCAAACCACTACTTCTGTGACCTTCAACCAATAAGGAAGTCAACTATATGACACACGCAAAGTGACCTTGCAATACCTTACAATTAGTGGGTCACAAAAGTCTATTTTAAAAGAAAGGCCTCTTGAATTACCCATTCTCTGTGTTTTCAGCATTAAGGACTGTCTGCAAAAGCATGTCCAAAAGTGATTGCATCTGAAATGGTAGGCTCTTCTAATTTCGAGTCCAAATCCATAAGGCCAAAGGTTATCCCAAAGACCACCACTCAGACCTCCCCAGGACTGGCCACAACTGACCCGTTGATTGCTTCTCAGTGCACCTTGGTTAGGAGACCGGTCATGTTCCATTACTATCTTACTGTGGCCTCTACAACAGGAGACCCACAGGATCCCATGTAATTGCTGCTTTGCTCCTCAGTAGGTTCAGACAGGAGAGTTCTGATCCCCGCCACTTAGCATGCTTACTGTGCCTTACAAACTCCAATACAACTGTCCCTTCCACACAGCTGAAGGTGATGTCTGTGTAAGCTGGAGGTCCCTCTTCCTTACAGTACTGCATTTCTGTGCCCAAGTGTGTTTAGAGGACTTAAAAACCCAAATTTCCCACCCCCCCGCCCCACCCAAAACAAAACAAATGAGGGGGAAAAAAAAAAGAGGAAAAAACAAAAAGGAAAAAGAAACACCCTCAAGGGGCCCTTTATGCAAATTATGTGCAGTGCCTTTTTATTTTAAAATTAGTTGGCAAATGACCAAGACCAACATCTGAACATTAACTTTTGTGGAACAGAAGACAAAAAAACCCACTATGACTGGGGTGTGGCAAGTTAAAATGGGGGAGGCAAAAAGAGGACACCTCTGCGCTATCCATAACGATGGGTTTGGACATGGCTCTTTTAAAAACTTCATTGTCCCTTTGCAATCTTTTCAAGTTAAAAAAAAAAAAAATAAAGTCAGCTTTGCCCTCTTGTAGCGGTTCAGTGTGTTAATCTCCTTCTGATGCAAGCAGCTTTGCACTTTGTTTTTTGGAAAAAAACACCACTTCTATAAAAACACACAAGAAACAAACTCAAGTTTCAATTTAGTCACGAGCTAGCTACAGAACTCTGTTGCACACAAACTCCTGTCATGGGGGACTCTTCTCTATCAGCCCCTTGCCTCATTGTCAGATGTCCTTCAGTCATGTAATGTGTAGGACCTGTATTAGCAGAAAATTGGTATGTTGGATGTCCAGCTATGCCAGTCTCTTGGCGGGGATTGGAGTAGACGGTTAAATTAACGTCCATAGCTCCATTCTGTCCAAAGTCCAAGGTATTAGCAGCCACTGGGCGATTCTGGTAGGCCTGATTGCCTTGATTACCAGTAGAGGAGGAAGATGTAGAGGAAGAAGTAGTTGAGGAAGACAGGGATGTCATGGAGTGGTGACTATGGCCAACCTCCATAGAATCCTGGGTAGAGGAGCTATTCGTTGGAGAATTGTAGACCCTTGGCCTGGTCCGGTTACCCAAGGCTTGTTGTCCATGGTGGTGGTGGTGGTGGTGGTGGTGGTGATGGTGATGGGAACTGTTTCCATGGTGATGATGCAATGCATTCTGTTGAGGGGCTACATGAAAGGTTGTTTCTTGAACGGGATGAGTTTCAACAGTGACCTGTGTAGGAGCTTCAGTGCCTGACCAACCAAGGGGAGCAGGAAACTGCTGACGCACCTGTAAGAAGATTTTTAAAGGGTTTATTCAGAGTACCGGTCCAAGACTTAATTCATCTTCAACCAAAAGCCACGACACTAGCATTTACACGAATTAGAGAGAGGGGATATTGAAACTTTTAATGTGTTAGTTATATAATGCAAAATTCCAAATCTATTTGAGTGAAAAAGTATTATACTGTGAAAGCTGCCGATTTTTAGCAAGCCATATCCATAAACAAGCTCATATATTTCACTGGCTATTTTCTTTCCTTGGGAGCACTGTTTATGCCAGGGATCAGCGAACTTTTTCTGGCAAAGGCCAGACAGTGAATATTCTTGACAGGTTCAAAATGAATTCTTTACTTTCCCTCTACGAACCCTCTTCTCTCCATCTTTCCTGTTTCAGTAAGAACACCCATTCCGTCAGCTGCTCAGCAACTCCTCCAAAGAAACCAGCAAGTACAAGAGCGCCCCACCTGACCTCTCCCCTCCCGTCCACCATGACCCTGTTTCTCCCAGGCTCCTCCCATTTCTCATGGATCTGCACTGGGACAAAAGCCCCCTCAATCAGCTCCCAGCTTCCATCCTTGTGCCTTCTTCCAGTCCATTCTCCATAGTAAAGAATACTGTTTTTTAAAACACAAATCTAATCACTTCCCTATTTAAAATCCTTTAATGATCTCTCTGTGCCTTAGAAAAACAAAATAAGCCAAAATCCACACAGCAGCCTGCCACATCTGGCCAATGTTTACTTCTCCAAACTTCTCCTCTAGCTAACCTTCCTCTCGCTGCCTGGGCTCCAACCACACCAGCTCTTTCTTCCACTCTTGCACCTGGCAGTATTTAAATGTCTCAGGGCATTTGTGTCTACTGTTCCTTTCTGCCTAAAATGCTCAGGTTTCTAACTTCCGCCTGGATGCTTCTTTCTCCTTTCAGTTCGAGTCTTCTCTGACCACTCTGGGTAAGGCTGCCCCAACTCCTGTGGCACAAGCTCCTAGCTGTCCTCACCGCTGCACTACACTTCCCAGCCTCCCCTGTACTTAGCTATGGCCACAGGACTAAATTATAGTCAGTGGAACGTGAGTGGTAGCTTTCTATCATGGCCAGATCTGGCCCACAAATACCTCCCAAGGTAGGCCAGGCAGGTAATGCCCTGCCTGGTGGATACAGCAGACAAGTAGGTCCTAATGGATGGAGGAGGCCAGAAAATAGGAGACAGCCATGCCACTAACCTCAACGCCCACAGAACCATTACATAAAAAAGAAACTTTATACTCTTCAAGCATTATTTTGTTAGAAATAACAATACTTAGTAATAAATAACAATATTTTGTTATAAATAATACTCTAAGTATGATTTTTAAATTATTACTTTTAAGTATTTAAGTATTTTTAAGTATTTTAAGTATGATTTTTAAATTATTCATTTTATTTTGGGAGGTCTGTTATCAATTCAGCCTACTCAAATTGTAACACATCCTGCCCAAAGAACAGCTGTTCTGTATCACATTATCCCACCCAGTTTTCATTTTTATCAATTAATGGTATCTGCAATTTCTATTAATTTGATTTTGCTTATTTACTGCAGCACTATAGGCTTGAAGAAGGCAAAGCCTGTGTCTCTTTTACCAGTAGCCAGCAAAAATTGTTAGGTATTTACTCAATAAAGGTAGTCTAAGAACCAAACTTCAAGAAACACCACTGAGAACAATCCAGTAGAAAAAAAGGCAGAAAGTTCTCAGGCAATACTAATGGTTCTTAAACTAGGAAGCTATTCAAATTTGTGGATAAAAGGAACTAAGCAAAATAAAAACATCCTCTGTCCAATACAATTTTTCATTTCACACTGATCAAAGGTGATCACACCGACTGTTTCTCTAGAGTCTTGTTAGTGGAAGCCTATATGGGCAAAACTAAACAGAGAGCAATCTGGCAGCAGGTATAAAAAAAAAAAATCACAGATCCCATCGCTCTCTGACCTGTGATTCCACATCTAGGGGGTTCTATCACAGTTACACTGCATGTGTGTGAGTGCTATGTGTGTCGCACTCCAGCATCATCTGTAACAGTCGAAAAGGTTGGAAGTTAACTAACCGTCCATCAGCAGGGGCCTGGGGAAATGACTTATGGCTATCTAAACCGTAGAGTACTGTGTGACTACAAAGAAAGAAAGAAGAAAAAGTTGTCCGTGTACTGATATAGGAGCTCCAAATATATGTTAAAAAATACATGTAAAACATACTGGAAAAAAAAAACACTCAAGATGTGAAAAGTGTGCATAGCATGCTACTCTTTGTGTACAAAGATTAAGAATATAGATCCGTATGTGGATATGTGTAGAATATCCCAAAAGGATACAAAAACCAGTTAACACTAGTTCAGAAACTGGGTGGCTAGAGGACGTGGCAGGGAAGTCTTCACTGAATCCCCTTTTACATTTACTTATTTTTTTTAACGGTGTATCATCTACTCAAAACATTAAATAAAGAAAGGCTTAAGGCAGATAAGCCAAAATAATGACTCCTGTGAAACACAGGCGGGAGGTACACAAGAATCTCCTGTTACTCCTGGTCCGTGGTGGTGGCGGCAGGATTTCACGCATTTGGAGAGCAGAAGAAAGGTAGGTCATTCTAAAGATGGGACATTTAGGCAAAGATCTGAAGTATAAATGGTAGTGACTACAGCAAAGAGAAAGGAAAAGTGTTCAGGCTGAGCACAGGATATGTGAGAAACATGAAAGAACACAGTGTCTTCCAAAAAATGGAAAAAATCCAGTAAGACCAGAGCAAATAAAGAGGAGAAAGAATGCCCTGGAAAGCGGTCAGACGATGCTGGTCACTGACCTCCTCCTGAGAGTCTAAATTTCCTTTTAAGTGCGAAGGAAAACCAAACGCCGGTTTAAAGCAGGGAAAGGCCGCATCACACTGCTCTACTGCCTTCACAGGCCTGCAGAGAAGAGAATGGTGTTGACGCCGTATGGAGTCAGATGCCGCAGGACCAGCTAGAAAACTCTTTCTAGCAAGACAGGCTGGAGATGGCTCCAGCAACGGGGCGAAGTAAAGAGAGTAAGAGCTACTTAGAATATTAAGAATACACTCAACGGACTATCTGATTCAACTGCAGGATGAGGGAAAGCCGAGTCAAGATTCAGCCCCCTATAGCCCCCAGGCGCGTGGCTGGAACAAATGGGTGAATCTCGGGCCATCGTGCGAAGAAGCCACACGGCTGGGGAGCTGCGATCAGCGCCAGCGCAGTTTATACGACGCATCTGCAGTGTCCTGTTGTGGAGACTTTGGAAGTGACGGTTCCGGTCAACAGAAATAAAGGCTCTGCGCATAGGAGGGAGGTCTGGGTGAGCAAGGAAGCTGGAGGAGTGTCCCGCATCAGGACGGCACTGCGGCGGGGGGCTGGGGGACTCCGTCGGTTGGGCGTCTGACTCTTGGTTTCCACTTGGGTCGTGATCTCGGGGTCAAGGGATCAAGCCCTCCATCAGGCACCAGGCTCAGCGTGTGGTCTACTTGTCCCTCTCCCTCCTGCTCTGCCCACCCCCCCACCCAACACTCTCGCCAATAAATGAATGAATAAAATCTTAGACTGAAAAAAGAGGACAGTACTGCAGTCATGGGGGGGGGCAATAGAGAACCCCGAAGAGAAGACAAGGAAGGAAAGGCCAGAGGAGCGCGGGGTGGGGGCGGCGTCAGGAGGTGGCCTGTCGGGGAAAAAGGACAGTGCTTCAAAGGGCAGGCGGGAGCCAGCACCGTCGGCGTGGGTGGCGGACGGCGAAAGGCGAGCGTCGGGGCGCCACTGGCCTCCTCGGCAGTGAGCCCGGCCGCCGCTGAACGGCGGGAGGCAGCCTGACCGGAGCAGACTGAAGAACTCTTCGGGGTAACACAGAGCTCCCCTCGCCCCCACCCCCTAAAATCGTAGGGCCGGACAGACACGGGCCAGGCAAAGATTTAGCTCCAGCGGGGAGAGACGTGGGGAGGATCAGCCGCTGACAGGAAGGAGAATCAAGCTGAAGAGGAGAGGCGGCAGCCCCGGGAGCCAGAGGCTGAGCAAAGGGCAACGTCAAACGCAAGGAGGCGGCGCAGGCAGGAGCTCAAGACGGGCCGGCCGGGGCGGGAGGGAAGACGCCCACTCTGAGGAGAGGCGGAGGCGCGAGAGAGACGCAGACAAGCGCGCCCGCTGGGTGAGGTGCGCCTTCTCGAAGACTCTCCTCAGGCAGTAAGGAGCTAGGTCCGTGAGGGGCAGGGCAGCGGTTTCTAGGAAGAGTAGAAGCAGCAACTGAACAATGACTGAAGAGACCGCGGAAGACAGGAGGTGACAAGGAGCGGTTAAGACTGCCCAGAGAGGCCGGGGCACACTAACTGACGGTGGTGCCAACTGTCCGCACGTGGGCTTCGCTCCTGCAGCAGCAGCAGACCCGCCACCAGAATGCGGGGTGGCCGTCCACGACCTCAGCTTTGCTTCACGCATCAAACACTACCCTGGCCTCTCACTACAAAACATCGTAATGCAGTGCTTGGAATGAACCACGAAGAGCAGTTAGTAAGTATTTTACTACCACCATCTGCTTCACCCATTTTTTTTTTTATAAAAATTAATCAATTACAGCCTCTTCTTTAACAAATTTTAAAAACAAAGGAACAAACAAACAAACCAAAAAAACACAAAAAAAACAAACCAACAGGGAGGTGAAAATCAAATGCGAACTGACTCGGAATCAAGGACTGCCCGCGATGACAGAGCACGGGGCGCAGTCGGGGCACGTAAGCAAGATCACAAGCCAGGGAGTGCTACTGAACCCCTGAAGGGACAGTTTTCAATGTAAAATGAAAACTCGACCAGTGTAAGACTCCACATGCTGCTGTAGTACAGGAGATACACACAAGAAAACAAACGGAGCAGCGGCTGGGATGCACCCAAGAAACGTTAGCAGGTTCCGAAGAATAAGAGCGCAAGCTGCGGGTGTGTTTTCGTTACAGACACATCAGAATCCCCTCTAAATGAGGAAGCTGCCGTGACCCTTCGGAAGAAACAACACAACCATCCGAGAGGCCCTTGGCCCCGCCGCTGCTGGGCCGGGACACGGTGGGGGACGGTGGGAGCGGTGTGGGAGCTCACCTGGGGACTGTGGGTCTCACAGTCCATGGCCTGGACGGCAGCTGTGAAGTGCCCGCCGCTGTGCCGATGCTGGTGCGTCGGGTCTGACCTGGCTCTCCCACTGTTGCTCGTCCCCGACGATCCACCTTCAGTATCACACACAACACAGCACGTTAAGTCTCAAGTTCACTCTGCTCGGGTATGCATTCTAGAACTCAAACACTGAAACTGAAAGTGCTTCGCACACAAAAAGCTCTATTAGTCTGAGAGCGTATCAGACAGTTATCCAGTTCTCTAAGTTCTTCCACATCAGCCACTTTGGTTTTGGTTACATCAGGGAAAATTTCAGGCATGTGAACAAAGTAGTTCTATTTAAAAAGCAATTAAAAATTTCGGTTAATAAAGAGTTTTGTTTCCAACTGCCAAGTAGAATTTATTATGCATAATTAAGTACTGGAGCTTTGGGGCAGGTGGATTTTTTTTTTTACTAACTACAAAGAACAGATTTAGGCCAAGTAATTCCTCCCGATCCCATCAACAAGTTTTTAAGATACTTTACAATAACCCCCACTTTGTAAAGAAAACAGTCAAGGCTCCCAAGCCTAACCCAGGGTTGGAGAACTGACCTGAGCTTGAAGACGTACTAGAGGTGGTGCCCGAAGACTGTGACTGCTCCATTGCGGGGCTGGTGGACACACTGTTACTTGTATTGGTGCCTTCGTCAGCTGTTTTCTTGAAAAAACTGTGCTGCAGGGCATAGTAAGGTTGAATTCGAGTTTTGGGGTCATAATCAAGCATCCTTAAAATGAGGTCTTTGAACTTCAAGTAGTCAGCTACAGTATGACCCGATTCCCCAGCACGACGCCCACCAGGTCCTCCTGTTTCTACTCCGAGAATATTATGAAGTTTACGGGTTCCTGGTGGTTTATACTCCTAAAGAGAAGAAAGATAAAAAGGCTTTCTCTAAATTTGATGGTTATGTAAAAGCCTACGTAACTTCAAATATGCTTCAATCTATTATAAAGAGGTCCTTATTAAAAGGCTTGTAGTTAGGATCCTCTGTATTTTCATACATTACCATCGCAAATGCACTTATAATAGAGAAATTCAAAATAGTTTTGAGATCAAAAATGACTTTAAAGATCACGCAGCCCAGGACTCAGCAAACAATGGCCTGGTCTCAGAGGTGTTTGTGTACAACCTCAGCCACACACGTTTTTCACAGTTCTGGAGGTTGTAAAAACCAACCAAACCAAGTTAAGACACCAGAAGCCCACAGAGCCTACAGACTGTACTCTCTGGTTCTTTACGTGAAGGAGCTGTGCCCGCTGCTGCTCCGGCCACGTGCTCCTGAACCTCTTTTCTGCCTGATGCCCCACCAACCCTGGCCGCACTTCCTTTCACAATGGCAGCTCTCCAAAGCTGTGGTAATCACTCCAAGTAGGCTCTACATTACACTGGTTTAAACCTACCTACTCGTATTTTTTTTAATTTTATTAACAGTTATCTCTACACCCAATGTGGACTTAAACTCACAATCCCAAGATCAAGAGTCATAGGCTCTACCGACTGAGCCAGCCAGGCGCCCCTTGCTCATATTTAGATAAAGAAATTAAAAACAAATTATTTATGCCTCCCTTTAGAGTATGTTGAATAATAAATTACCTTAACATGTTGATATTTTCTGAAAACTAATTTTTAAACAGATGACAGTATAACCCTTAAAAATCCTATGAATACTGAATTTATTCAGAATATCATCACTGGATTTTTAGTTCTGGTGACAATGTACAAATTTGCAAGAGACTATTGCTCTCATTCTAAAAGCAAGAACAAACCAGGAAGGTAGGCCAGAAAATCATTCCATTTTTAAAAAACCCGTTATAGTGCCACGGCCTAAACAAACCAGAATTAACTAAATTCCAGAAAATGAAAAGCCCTTCTTGGGAAAGAAGCATCGTAAGGTGGGAGAGGAAACAAATGCCAGAGATCTGGGTAAGAATCCAGCCCAACTCTGAACCAACTTGTGGGGGTGGAGGAGGACCCCAGGCCGAGCAAAGGCCTGCCGACAGTCCAGGCGGAGCCCGCGGGGCACTCCCAGGCTGGGGGCAGAGCAGCAGGACGGACAGCGACTGCGTAAGGCACAAACAGGAGCGGGCTGCTGGCACTAAAGTACAGAGAGCGCTCAGGTCTCCAGAGACAGGGCTCAGAACCTATGAACACCGTGGAGAACAGAATCTAAGCTGAGCAAACAGACAAAGCGAAGCCCAGACTCAGCTTAACTACAAAGAAAGCTGACTCCGTCCCACTCTACTGCCTGACAGAATGAGAGGTGGGTCTCTTTCTGGAGGAAGGAAGATTTACTTCCCTCTCAAGTGTTCTTAAATACAAAGTCTGGCATACATTTAAAAAATGAGACACAAGAAATTTAAACAAGATGGGTCTATAATGAATTGAAAAAGATAGAGAGAAGACCCACATAAATAAATGACCCAAATGCTGAAACTGGCAGATAGGCATTATCAATAATTATGACAAACAGATTAAAGAATTTAGTTCAAAAGGAGGACAACATGTATGAATAGATAGGGTGTTTCAGAAGAAATGAAAACTACATTAAAAAAAAAAAAAACAGAAAAGAGGGGTGCCTGTGTGGAACAGTCAGTTGAACGCTGACTGACTCTTGGTTTTGGCTCAAGTCATGATCTCAGGCCCCATGTTGGGCTCCATGCTCAGCATGGAATCTGGTTAAGATTTTCTCTCCCTCTCCTCCACAATGTATTTTCTCACTCTCTCAAATAAATAAATCTTAAAAAAAAAAAAAAAGTGGAACTATAAGAACTAAAATATGCAGTATCAGAAATAAAGAATTCACTTAATCGTTTTAACATAAGACTGGACTCAGCAGAAGAAAAAAAAAATCAGTCAATCAGAAGACAGAGCAAAGAAATTATCTAAACTACAACACAAAAAGAACACAGAATGAACAAACCAGAGACCTCTAAGATAACGTTATTCACTGTAACAAACATTTAAGTAGCAAATAAGACTGAACAGAACAAATATTTGAAAAGACAAAAGTCTGAGGATATTCAAAACTTGGTGAAAGAGAATAATCCACAGACCCAAAAACTCCGCAAACTCCAAAAAAATAAATACAAAGGAAACTACACCAAGGGACATAAGAGTCAACTTACTGAAGAATTGAACATAAAGAGAAAAACATCAAAATCAGCTGGGGGAGAGGGAGACAAATCACATATGGATAATGATGCTTAGAAAAATTATTGGCTTCTCTTCAGAAACAACGTAATACAGAAAACAATGTCAGTAACATCTTTAAACAATGTTATAATTTCTTTTTTCTTTTGCTAAAATGTCAACCTAGTATTCTATATCCAGGGAAATTTCCTTATCTTCCTTAAGAAGGTAAGTAAAGACATTTTCAGATAAACATCTGTTGACAGAAAGTACCACCAAAAGTTATTCACCCTAAAATAAAAAAACTAGACAAAGTTCTGTTCTGGAGGAACATAATACCAGCTAGAAGCCAGAAGTTGCAGAAAGGAAATCAAGATCTACACAGGTAAATAGAAGAGATTATCTTAATATCTTAATTCTTTGTTTTAAAATTTCTTTAAAAGTCATTTTTTATTTAGAGCAGTTGAGCTATTTGTGGTGAGGGCTGTAACATATGCAGAAGTGATATACAATGAAAGTGCACAGAAGGTGGAGGGTTAGGCAAAAGCACATGGTTAGTTACATGCTTTTCAAGTGATATCAGATGAATGCCAACTGATCAGTTTAAGATGCCTATTATACTAAAAATTACACACAGGGACGCCTGGGTGGCTCAGTCAGTTAAGCGTCTGCCTTCAGCTCAGGTCATGATCTCAGGGTCCTAGGATGGAGCCCTGCCTCAGGCTGCTGGCTCAATGGGGAGTCTGCTTCTCCCTCTCCCTTCGCCTCTCCCTCCGCTCATGTGCTTGCTTGCTTGCTCTCTCTCTCTCTCTCTCTCTCAAATAAATAAATAAATAAAATCTTAAAAAAAAAAAGAATAAAAATTACAAAGTAACAGCTACTCAATAGAGGAGATGAAATAAAAGAACCAGAAAGTATTCCATTAACCCAAAAGAAGGCAGGAAAAAAGGAATGGGGGTAAGGAGGTAAGACGAAGAGAGTACAAATAAGACAACATTTTAAAGCCCAAACTTGAGGGTTTTTAAGGAATAATTAAATGAGTTAAAAATTCACCATGAAATAAACAGACAAGCTGAATGGATCAAAAGGCATGACAACTTAACACTGCATAAAAGAGGCATACTTCATATATAAAAGTGCGGACAGATCTGAAGTTAAAGGGTTGGGAAAATACAGACCATGAGAATGTGAAGAATAAGAAACTTGGTATAGATATAGTAATATCAGACAAATCAGACTTAAAGACAAAAATGAAAAATATTACTTGAGATAAAGAGGGACATTTCCTCATAATGAAAAAGTGAATTTACCACAAAGCCACAACAGTAAATGGGTACACACGACTAAGAGAGCTTAAAAATACATAAAGCAACTAAAGGGAGATTAAGACAAATCCAGAATTAGGAGCACCTGGGTGGCTCAGTTGTTAAGCATCTGCCTTCATTCAGCTAAGGTATGATCCCAGAGTCCTGGGATCAAGCCCTGCACTGAGCTCCCTGGTTGGCGGGAAGCCTGTTTCTCCCTCCCCCTGCTTGTGTTTCCTCTCTTGCTGTCTTTCTCTGTCAAATAAACAAATACTAACCACCCCCCCCAAAAAAAGACAACTCCTAAATCATCACTAAATGTTAACATTCCTCTCTGTTAATGGGAGAACAAACATCCACAGATAGACATACACACAAAGTAAAGGATATAAAAGTTATGGGGGAAAAAAATCAAACAACCCAACCTATGCTGACATTTGTAGACCACTATACTAAATAAACGTATAAAATACAATTCCTTGCAAATATAGACAGAACATTCACCAAGAAAGATTACCTGCTGTATCATAAAACAAGTCTGAATCAACTTTAAAGGAGTGAAATCATGTTTTCTGACCATGATGCTACTGAACTAGAAATCAGTTAATAAGATGTTTAGAAAATCCTCAAATATTTTGAAATTATGTATCAACATTCCAAATAACAATGGGTCAATAAAGAAATCACAAGGGAAATTAGAAATGTTTCAAAATCAATGAGTTAAAACATATCACAAGTCACTGCATGCAGCTAAAGCAGTAATCAGAGGGAAATTTGTGCCTTTAAATACTGTTAAGAAAAAAGTTTTACATAAATGATCTAAGCTTCTCCTTCAAAAAATAGAAAATGCAAATTTAACCTAAAGGAAGGAGAAGAAAAAGAAGTAATAAAGAAAAAAAAAATCAATGAAATAGAAACAAGACTAAACAACAGTAAGAAAACAAAAACCTTGTTGTTTGAAAAGATAAGTAAATTTGACAAACCACTAGAAAGAATAACAGGGAAAAAAGGGAGAAAACAGAAATGACCGACATTAGGAACAAAAGAGACACTATCACTACAGATCCTCAAGAAATTACAAAGATAATAATGAGATACTATGTGTAATTTTCTGCTAACAAAGCCAACAACTTAGATAAGGACAAGTTTCTTGAAATCCAAACCTACCAAAATTGACTCAAAAAGAAAATCTGAATAGCCATATATTTATAAAAAATATGAGCTATAATTAATAACCCTCTAACAAAGAACATCCCCAGTTCCTGACAGCTTCATTAATGAACTCTATTAAAACATTTTCAAAAGAATGCCAATCTTATACAAATTCTTTCAGAAAAATCAAGAAGGAATACTTCCCAATAGTTTTATGAGACCAGCAGAATCATGATATCAACATCTAATGAAGGTATTATATAAAATTTTAGACAAAAATCCATTTAATGACAAACTTCCTACCAATACAGACAAACTGAACCCAGCAATACTTAAGACAGTATATCAAGGCCAAGTGTGGTTTATCTTAGATTGAGCTTAATATTCTAAAGTTAATTAATGTATTTTACTACATAATAGGAGAAAAACCATATGATCATCTCTACAGATGCAGAAAGCATGTGACAACATTCAAAACCCACTAATGATTTAGAAAAACAAACAGGCAAAACACTTGTCTAAAAACAAAAGAAACTACTCCTTCAACCTGATAGAGGGCTGCAAGAAATATACAATCCGTACCATACTTAAAAATATCAGATAAATGTATGCTTTTCCCACAAGACTGGGAACATGGGAAGATGTCTGCTCTCACCATAACTAATCAACATATGGAAGTTCCAGTCAGTATAATAAGATAAAAAATCAATAAAGGCATACATAGTCAAAGAACAAGACTCCTCATTTGCAGAGGACATGATTAAGCAGGAACTCCTATAGAATCTAAAAACAAACAAAAAACTAGAATAGGCAAATTTAGCAAGGTTTTAGGATATAGAGTCAACATAGAAAACTCAGTTCTATTTCCACATATTTGCACTGAGAAACTAGAAGACAATACTTTAAAAAGGACACTTAAAATTGCATCCAAAAAATTAAAAATTAAAATACAAAAGATGCCTGCGATTGCTGCACAAAACACTACAAAATGCTGCTGAGACAAATTAATGACTAAATAAATGGAGAAATGTTCACAGACTGGAAGATTCAATGCTGTTAAAATGTCCATCCTGTTGGATGAACTCAAATGCAATCCAAATAGAAATTCCAGCAAGATTTTTTGCGTACAAATTTAGAAGCAGATTCTTAAATTTATATGTAAATAAAAAAGACCTAGAGAAGAGGAAAAAAAAAATTCTTGAGACAGAAGACAAGAGCTGGTGGCTTTATACTACTTGAATTTGAGACTTACCACACAGCTACAGTAACTGGCACCACGGTACTGGTTCAAGGACTCATCAACCAAAGCAACAGAAGAGGGTGCAAATACAGACCCATACATAAAAGATGAATTTTTCAGACAAAAGCTCCCAGATCAATAGGGAAAGGCAACAATTCAACAAATAATGCTGCAATGCTTAGGTAAGGACCTGGGGACGTGAACATCAACTTCTATACCTCATTCCACATTCAAAACTTAATTCCAGATGAACCACAGAATTCGAACCATAAAAACTCGGATCAAAAAAATCTTTTAAAAAAAAGCACAGAAGGCCCTCACAAACTTGAAGACAGCAAAGATGTCTTAAGATACAAAAACTACTACTATTCATAAAAACCAGCTGACAAATTTGATTTCATTGATATTAAAAATTTTCCACCCATCAAAAGATACTAGCAAGAAAAGAAATAGATAAACCAGTCTGGGAAAAAAATACTGACACATAATGTGACCAAGGACTTAGATCCATTATGTGTGTTAAAAAACAAACAAAAAAAACCTCCTACAACTCAATAATGAAAGAACTCAGTAATAAATGAGTAAAAGACTGGAAAGATGGTTGCAAAAACACCCAACAACAACTATGAATGGTTACTAAGCACATACTATTAGCCATGGAGAAATGCAAACGAAACCACTATACAGACCCGTCAGAATGGCTGATTTCAAGAACGACCAATCATACCAAATGGCGAGGACGTCATGCAACTGGAACCCTCCTCATATACTACAGGAACGTAAAATGATAAAAATTTGGAGAACTGTATTTTCTCGTGAAGGTGAACACACATATACCCTATGACCTGGCAATTCTACCTCTAGTGATCCCAGGGAAAGGGAAACACACACGTACAAAAGACTACACAAGAATGTTTCCATACCCTTATGTATAATAGATCCAAATCAAAAATAACTCAAACGTCCACTGACAGGTAAATGTAGATAAATTACAGTAGTTTTTACTCAACAGAATACTATTAAGTGATAAAATGAAATAACTTTTGAAACACACAACAATATGGATGAATTTCCAAAAACAGTGTTTGTTAAGTGAAGGAAACAAAATAATAAATACTATAGGATTACATTTATACAAATTTTGCCTGTAAGTAGGCAAAATTAGCCTATGATATAATAATCAGAAAGTGGGGTGGGGTGGGATGACAAAAGGGTCAAAACAGAACTTTTAGGGTGGTGGAAATATTCTGTATCTTGTTTTAGGCAGGGTTACACTGCTGTACATAAGGTTAAAACAAAAATAAGGTATGCGTATGTTGTTGCACAAAAACTATAACAAAACAGATCTTAATTCTTCATCCACTTTCCCCACCAAAAAAATATACATATAGTAGATAGAGTTCATCACCAGGAAACTAAAATGGGCTCTTGAAACATAAATGAAAAATTAAAAGAAAGAATAAAATCACTGAGAAAATAAAACCTATAGTTAATGTGTATTAAATATAGGTCAATGGGGCGCCTGGGTGGCTCAGTGGGTTAAAGCCTCTGCCTTCGGCTCAGGTCATGATCCCAGTGTCCTGGGATCGAGCCCCACATCGGGCTCTCTGCTCCACGGGGAGCCTGCTTCCTCCTCTCTCTCTCTGCCTGCCTCTCTCTGCCTACTTGTGATCTCTGTCTGTCAAATGAATAAATAAAATCTTAAAAAATATATATACATATAGGTCAAGATACTCTCAATTTTAAAAAGGGAAAAGATCCATCTACTCTTTTCTGAAATGCCCCCCCTTTATTTTTTAAAATAATAATTATAGCTCAATTTGGGAGAAATGATAGGTTACAGCCCATAGTGGTTTAACTATGGTTTTAGAAGACAGAGATATGAATGCGATGGGATGAATGTTTTATTTAGAAAAAAAGAAAAAACTGGAAGAAGAAAAAAACTTCAAAATGGAGAAAGTAGTAGCCTGTATTGAGAGATAAAAAACATAAAGGAGGTTTCATATCCTCCATGCTAATTCAAATCGACTGGTAGGAGCTATTTCGAATGCTGGGGAAACTAAGAAGGATTCCCAAGGCTGTGTTTTGGTTCAAGGGGAAAGGGGCCAGGCCTGATAAGCTAGTGATGTGGATAAAGGCAAAAGGATTCAGGAGACCTGCATAGTATTTCCCACCTCCTTCTTAAGGGGAGTAGGCACAATCTGGCTGCCAGATATTATACTGCCTCGAACTTGAGAGAATCAGGCAGGATGCAGTAAGTTACAAATCAGCTGTGAAAGATACAATCACGGATACAATTTTAAACATTCTAAAGGAAATCTTCCAATATTAAAAGTTGAGACTCCACAGCCATGTGAAGGTGAATTAAAGCAAATAACCATCATCTTCAGTTCACTGGAAATAACACCTGGTGGCAGCATCGCTAAAATCCAAGGGCAAAATTAAAAATGGAGCAAAAATAAATCCCCCAAGTGTAAAAATGCAAAACGATCATCCCAAGGTGTCTGGTATGTACATATCCCAAACAATCAGATAGTTATATATTACATTCATTTTATACTACCAACAAGCTAGATTACAAAACGGGATTATTTTTACGAGGTTAAATCAAGATGCAAAGTTGCCATCATGTACTCTGTTAAACGGACACTGTTTAGGTATCTGAAAAAAAGTTCTCAGCTAAAAGAAAATTACTAAAACAAACCTAATGATTTGAAAACCTCACGCTGAGGATTTTGGAGATGTGACATTCCTGCTATCCATGCCACTAAGCTAAGAACCTGCACTGAAATCGATCCAAGGACTCTAGTCAGTTCATATTCTTGTCACAAACTGCCCAGTCAAAAATCTTTTTCTCCTATCTGAAATTTAAATAATAAAAAAAGAAGCATGATGTACTGCAATTATGACCTCTGTGGCTCACAGATGAAGTACTATTAACTGTGACTTCATTACAGACCCACACTGTGAGGGAAAAAAGGTCAAATTTCCTGATTCTACTGCTGTAACGAGGCCCGGTGGTTTGATCGGCTGTCTCACAAAGCAGACACAGAGTTTGCAAAATGAAGTCTTAACTCTAACCGGGAAACAAACACTGGTCCAGACAGCTCAGGTCAAACTATACCCAACTTTTAAAGAAATACACACCTAAGTTATTAATGAAACCGTTAACTAAAACACGGATGTCAAGTAAACATAAAATGAGCTACAGAAAGACCGCTCCAGTAAAATAAATAACAAAGGCTTAAAAAAAAAAAAAAAATCCCTATTTTACCCGTTTTCCATCTTTGGTCTTCTTTAAGTTCCAAGTGCCATCTGGCAACTTCTCAAAGAACTTTCTTGCTTTTGGTGCTTGGTCAAGAATATGAGCAGGTGGAATATTCAGAACTTCCACTATTTTATTCATCTGATCTACCTGTATTAAAAATAGAAACAAAAAAGCCTGTAACTTCTACTGCAGTACCTCCTACTTCGGCTCATCAATTCACCCATTCGTTCATAAATTATAAATAAACAGAGCATCTCCTGTGTGTCACACACACCTCCAAGCACTGAGCACAGAATCATGAACAAAACACATGAAGCCCCCCCCGTCCGGCAGTCCCCTCATTCCTCACAGGACAGGGCGGATAATTCAACAAACAAATAAAATCAAATAACCATCAAAAAGGAAAAATTCCAGAGGCTTCATCAAGCGTGGACCGAATAAAGTGTTCTTTTTTAAGTACAGATTCCGTCACTCAAATACCAAGTGTCTACCACATGCTAGAAACCGCGCTCAGCAGAACATAGCAATAAACAGAACAGACAAAAATCTCTGCCAAAAAGTTTATATTACAGGGGAAGAAATCACTACTAGACAAATATATAATTAACTATATTATGTCGATGCCAAATAAGAACTACGGAGAAAATTAAAGGGATGGAGAGTGACAAGGGACACTGCAACAGGTACTAGAGGATCACAGAGAAGATGTAGGGAGAGCAAAGACCTAAGGAAGTGAAGGAAGGAGCCATGGTGCTCCCTGGGGACAGGGACTTTAAGGCACAGGAAAGAACTAATGCAAAGGCCTTTGGTATGGGCCCACAGTATGGGCCTAGGTCTACTGTTTCCAAGGGACCACAGAGCAAAGCTTTGAGCTGGGACTGAGAGAGTGAGGGGAGGCGAGGTCGCAGAGAGATAGCAGGAGTCAGAGGGAGTAGGGGATTTTCGAGCCACTCAAAGGACTTGGCTTTTACAATGAATGAAATGGAAGCCACTGAAGTTTCAGGGGATTTAACCGAATATAGTTAATTATATTTTATCATATTTTAATTATAATTAATACAATAGAATTTAATTTCACACTGTTTAAGCCCATGAAAAAGATACTACTTTACAGGGTAATATTACTGATAACAAAACAAAACCAATCACACACTATGCAAGTCACTGCCCAGGAGTGGCTCACTGGCTATAGTTCAAGTGAATTAACAAGACAGAGGGGACAGGTTTCCGACACCATACTAATAGTTGTATAACCCAGTGTAAGTTAAGTCATTAAATTTTGTTGGCCTTTCTTTTCTTATTTATAAATGCAATGGACTGATTAAGATCTGTAATGGTTAACTTTCCTTTTTAAAAAACGACAAACCCCATAATGTTTTAAACCAATGAAAAGTCCAATTTCTCTGACTGCCAGAGAGCGTGGCCTCTCCCATGCCCTCTTAGGCACTGCCTCTGACCTCCAAACACCTTCTAAGAACAGACTGAAAACCCATGAATTAGAAGAATTACGTATCATCTGTAGCTGTTAAATTCTATAATCTTAATTCACCCTCAATTATTCAGATCAAACAGCCCTCCTCAAGGCCACTGGTCATCACTTCTTAAATTCCAAATCATACTTTCAAAATTTACAGCGATGTTTACATTGTTCTTAGGGTGGCTCTTATGCATTTTTATCATCATTTCTGTTACATTATACATAAAATCTGTAAAAAATTTAAACCAGAATGCTTAACTTTTATTAACTTACTATTCTTCTCAGTAGCGAATTGAAAGATCTCATTTCCCACCTCAAATCCTAAACTCACCATGATAACTGAAAAAACTTTAAAAATGGATAAATTCAAAAGTGTCCCAACATTTGAATATTTAAATTAATAGGCATATTTTCCTAAAAACAATTTTCAGGTTACTGTCATAGATTAAAAACAAAAAGAAATTATGAAAACAGAAACAGAATTTTAAAAGCAATCCATCATATACCTCATTGGCTCCACTGAACAGAGGTTCTCCAGTGTGCATTTCAACCAAAATACACCCAAGGGACCACATGTCAATAGCAAGGTCGTAAGGCATTCCCAGTAGCACCTCTGGAGACCGATAAAAGCGACTCTGAATATACTGGTATATCTGAAATATATTTCAATATCGTATTAATTCCAACATAAGTTTTGTTTAATTATGCTCCACACTGAATTAAGTACATTTAACTAATATTAACAGAAAAAAATAATCGGCTAACTCCTAAATTTGGGTTCCATTTACCCATTTCAACCTTCTACTACAAGTATTATCTAAACAACTAAACATTTCAAGAGTGGTTACTCTGACTGTGAAATGCAAAACACAACACAACAAGTCCTTCCATTTAGTGCAATCCTAACTGGTAATCAAGATCCACACCCTAAAACAAATAATTATGCCTTATTAGAAAAAAGACATTATTGAGAATAGTTTGTTTCTCTATTATTCTTTCCTGCTATGGCTGGCACTTGGTTTACCATTAATGGAAGGACTAAATTGTATTTAAACTAACCTTAAGAATGTATTTCAGCATTAAGTCAAACAAACTCTGTACACCGTAAATGACAGTTCAGGTATCTACACTGTAGTAGTCTCATAGATAAATGTGAGAAAGGCTGCTAGTAAAATCCAAATGAGAGTCGATTCTGACCAATCACTTCTGCCCTGCGCTCCTCCACCTCAGTCTAAGACTTCTTAGGAAAAGAAAACCTTGAAATGGATAATTTTCAACAAAGTAATCGGAGAATATCTTAAGAAACCAATTCATCTTCACTTAGCCATTGTAAATTTGTACCTAGCAATATCGTGAAAGCAAAGAAAGTTTTATGTAAAAAGAGAAAGAAAGAAACAAAATCCTCCTAACTAAAACTTCCTCACTTAACACTCTCGACTAGGCGGCCAGCAGTACAGTGCTGCTTTCTCCTGAATGTTTCTGTGGCTCCCACCGGAAACTCCAGCCAAATCTCCAAGAATAACCTGAGGCCCCCATAAGCAGGTCAACCCAACTTTAATGCCTTGTCAGAGTAAAGAAACTGAAATTCACAGGGACCGAGAAGAAGTATTACGTTTCTAAGTTTTCACAAGCCAACAGCACTGGTAAGCCCAAAGACTCCCTACTAGTAAGATTGTCTCATTCCCCGGCTTACGCAAGAAGTTTGTCAGTCACCTATACATTTTGGTTAAAAGCAGTGGTTGGGTCATCTACAATGTTGTGCCCCAAAATCCCCCTGAAATACACCTGCCCTGCCACCTTCTGAGACTGAGACTAGGGTAGGGTCACTGCATGTGTATTTTAGAAAGGATCTCTCATTCTATCTGATACACCGAACACAGTTTAAAACCTCATTAAGCCAAAGGGATAGTTGTCTCAGTTTGGCTGGAGAGACATTGTAGTGTTTGATATTAGTACAGAACATAGGATTTTGTTTAAATGGGGGGGGGAAATTATTCCAAATCTAAATCTATTCAAATGACTCTCAAATGGGCATGTATTTTCCATTCGCAATATACTTTATCCCACATTAACAACTATGAACAGCTCCTGATTTTCAGAGGCATCTGAAACTGCAAATTTTGCTTCCTACTCCTTCAGTTTATTTCAGTGATCTACAACACCACTGCCATGAAGAGAGCTGCAGAAAAGAACAAGCCTGATAATCCTGTTAGCTGACTATAAATCTTCACGACTGAATTAACCAGCCATGTCTAAAACACGAAAAAAAGTTGCATAGGACAAGAACTCTCACTCACTTGGAAAAACAAAAACTGGAAAGCCAGTATGAAATATTATCTGAATGTTAGTTGTGGTTTTTCTTTTTCGCCCCAAGAAATGCAGCTTCAGTAATTACAAGTAAACAGGAACAGTGTTTAAAGTGAGTACAATATTATCAAATGATTTTAATTTCTTTCAAGAAAGAAACCTATCACTTCTATGTTATATGTGAAACACACTGTTAAGAGAAGCTTTCATAACATTAGAAAGAATAGTGGGAAAAATCTGCTTTCTTAAATCCGCTAAATCTCAATCTGTATTATTGCTACAGACAGGTCTGTTTTTAGCAGTCCGAGGAAAACCAGTGTGGACCCGTGTCAGAATTTACAGAGGGAGAAAAAGATTTAAACTTATTTATCAAAAACAAGTATGTCTAACCAACTGTAATTTCTATACTGTATCACCATGTGGAATGCAAAACTACCTGTATATTTCTAAACCCATCAGTTTTTGAAGAAAATCATTTATCTTGATCTATCTTTGGAGAAGAATTTCACAGCAAGGATTCAATATTCTAGTACTGGAATATCCCCAAATTCATACTAAAACCTCTACTTGCAAAATATAGTTTAAAACCACCTTAGGCATACGTATAATTTTTAAAAAACTACTTTTAAAAAAGCCCAATATCTTCTAATCCAGAATCTTATATTTGCATTTGAAGAGATATGTCCCCAAAACATGTTTCAACACAATGTGATTAGCGTGCTGTATTTTAAGGGTAACTATCCTATAATTACCCCCAAATCGTAAACACATTAATAACATTTCAAGTATCTACGGACACTATTTTATTTAATTCTGTTTTAATTCACAAGTCCTGAAATATACTTACCCTCTGCCCCAACTGACAAGAACTGCCAAAGTCAACGATCTTGATTGCACTGCGTTTGGGGTTACAAAGAAGGATATTCTCAGGTTTTAGGTCACAGTGAATGATACTAAGTTCTGGAGTCGCAAGGAAAAGCAGTGCAGTGCACATCTGCTGTGCAAACTTTCGTGTTAGGTTCAAAGAGACACCTCGAAAATTGGTGTTCCTCAACAAGTCATAGAGGTTGTAAGACAGCATTTCAAAAACTAAACAGAGATGGTTTCGAAACATAAAGTGGCGTTTCAAATGCACTGAAAGACAAAAAAAGTTTCATTTTAAATTATACATGCCAATAAAATGAGAATAATGTATGCATGAACTCTCAAACAATCTACAACATTTCAATGTCAAATGTAGAGTGAAAATCAAGTTAAAATTTGGAGATCAGCATTCTGCAGTAACAGCACATTCTATAATCAGTCGGGAATATCTAAATTGTTCGTCTGCTGAGTTAAACAGGTGTGGTGTCTGCCAATAAACAATATAATGTAAGAAGTACCACCAAAAGACTTTGCTTAAAAAAAAAAAAAAATGAAGTCAGGTCTGAAAACAAGTAGCAAAGCGACAAACAGTACTGAGAATATTTCAGTAACTTTATGCTCACTTCTACGAGAAAGCATTTTTTACTTCCTCAGAGCCCAACCTCACAACTTCACCTAAGCTCCACCCACTGGGATCTCCAAGTTGTGACAATGCGGGACTTGGCATTGTCTCTGGGAAGGTTTTCAGGCTCTGATACATATTCACATTCTGCTCTGCTGAGCCTGAGATCTCCCTAGTAATTTCCTGCAACAACTGTCAAAGGAAGACACAGATCTTTTTTTCTTTTAGGAAAACAAATCAAATATTTGAAAAGCACGCTTTACAAGATCTTAAAAGAGTTCATAATCAAGTCATTTGATTGTGTTCACCAAACTGGTAAATGGTGTATCTTGTACACAACTGAAGGTCTGGGAAAACTTGAAAATAAAGCTCAATCAAAAGAAGAAATTACAAGTAGGCTTATGAATGAGAAAAGCGTATAGAAGCCATTACACGCTATCACGCTATCACTGCTGACCCTCTAAAAATGCCTAATACTCACTAAATCGCTTCAAAGACTGTGCTTTTAGTACTAACACTGCCCATCAGATGAGGTCATTCAGTGAAGCGCTGCCCTTCACTGTAAAACTCTCATGTACACCAAACTGAACACTCAGAACTCAACTGGAATGACATAATACCACCCATCTGTCAAGGTTACCTTCATTTTGGGTCTTTTAGTTTCATAAAAACAGAGGCTCCTCTACAGATCTATCTGGAGTAACCACGGTGGTATTCAAGGTCTGGTCCCTGAGAACGGGGAATACACTGTGTTGTCCCGCACCGCCTCCTGGGGAGCAGTGCACATCAACACTGTTTTTACATCATCCTGACACACACGATCCAAAGTTAGGATAAATAACGATACAAATACTTCGTAGCTCTATCAGAGCCTACAGTACAACTCAACACTCTACCAATAAAAGGAATCCTTAAAGGTTACTGAAGAATGTATAATATCTGCTCTTAATCACCGAAGTTCATATGTTTCATACCAGAAACGGAGCTCCACATGCAAGAGAGACACCCCACAAACTTGGTCAAGAGTTTTAATTTGATTAAGCAATAGCCACAAAAAGAATGCAAAAAAGTAAATGATGCCACAATTCCAGTTTAATTATGAAAATTCCTTTAAGAAGCTCTGTGATTAGAAAGTTCCTCCAATGGGGGTGCCTGGCTGGCACAGTCAGTAAGCATACGACTCTTGATCTCGGGGTCATGAGTTCAAGCCCCACACTGGGCATGAAGCCTACTTCAAAAAAGAAAAGAAAATTCTTCCAGTGGAAGATCAAGCCAGTTGGTTCCACTTGACTTCCCAATTCATTATTCCTTTACTATCTACAATGTACTGAGCACTAAAGACGTTGTCAAATCTCCAACACAAGTATATTTATGTATCTTTTAAAACTGAACTTTGGGGATAATGGAGGGTCAGCAAAACTTTGTTCTAGACCTTAACTGAATTTTCTTCTGACTAGATCATGACAGGTACCAAATAATCCAGGTGAGAAATTATGCTACATGGTCAAGTAGTAGTTTTTTTTTTTTTTTTTAAGTTTCAAAGACTTAAGATTATAAAACTCATCAGAATAAATTATATTTATCTATCACACTAAACAAAAGTTATTTATATCAGAAAAGAGCAATATGACTTTGAGACATCTTAAATTTAAGTATTAAATCTACCTGCAGCACTAGGTCTAAATCTAAAGGTTTTATTTGCCTTCCAATAGAGAACCTCAGTTCCTTGACACACTGCATTCACCACCTCCCTAAATAAGAACTTAAAAAAAATTTCATCTAAAAAACATCAATCATGATTAATGCAACTTTCATAATCATTTTAAAGTTTGCTAAAAAACAAACTTTATTTATTAAAATTTATTAAATTTTTTAATTTACTAAAAACAGTTTATTAAAAACAAAAATGACAGGCATTATTATATACAACCAAGTGGCCAGCATTTATTGAATACTTACTATATACTTGCCATGTTTTCTTTCAATAAGGCAGAATTAAAATATTACAGTAATGCTATCAACATATTCTCTACTACTTAAGCAAACACTCAAAATACAACATACAAAAATGAGGAGGAAGAAGTGGAGAGGCATGTCCACAGATTACTTTGTAAGTCAAGTATCCTTCGAATGTCCTTCTTGTGCTTCTATGTCCCTTAAATGGAAATACACTCAAACTTACAAGAAGTTATAACTGACACTGAACAATAAGTGTTCAGTGAATATGAAAAGCTTTTAAATACAGATGTAATTACAATGAATTATATCAGGTATCTACAGAGAAGAAACTAAGAAAGAAAAATTAATAGTATAAAAGCTCATTTTCTTGCAATACTGGGGAATGAAGTGTGTTCATAAATGAAATCTGATCTTGGTATCTGAACCTTACATTTTTTTTTAAAGTGTATTTATTTACTTGTCAGAGAGAGAAAGATTGAGAGAGAGAGAGAGAGGGAGGGGCAGAGAGGAAGGCAGAGGCAGAGAGAGAAGCAGGCTCCCCGCTAAGCAAGGAGCCTGATGTGGGACTCGATCCCAGGACCCTGAGATCATGACCTGAGCCGAAGGCAGAGGCTTAACAGACTGAGCCACCCAGGCGTCCCAGAACCTTACATTTTTAAACACGCATTTTTTTTCTTTTCTGTTTCCACCGTTTTGGACAAACTAAAAAACCATATTGCCCTACTTACTCATAAAAAGGTATTTTATTACATAAAATTTAACCTCATGTTTATCAGGTAAAGCCAACATTTCTGAACAGGGTTGCTATGTATACATGCCTACAGGGAACTTCCATAGTTACTTGATCCAAAGGCCTCAATCCTAAAATTGATGGCATCTTGTATTTATATGAGACGGCAATTTATTTCTCAGTGGCACATAAAATAATGGGGTCTTACAATCATCAGTATCATAGATTTGACTGAGAATAGTATTAAACAAGGCATAATTATTAATGTTATGCCCATGTATCAACTGATCCTAGACTTCACTATTTGTTTTTAAAGATTTTATTTACTTATTTGAGAAAGAGCACAAGGGAGGGACAGAGGGAGAGGGAAAGGGAGAAGCAGGCTCCCTGCTAAGTAGGAAGCCCATCACGGGGCTCAATCCCAGGACCCTGAGATCACGACCTGAGCCAAAGGCAGAGGCTTAACCAACCGAGCCACCCAGGCACCCCTAGACTTCACTATTTTCATAATTATTCTATCTTCTTTCTGTTTTCAGGAAAAACACTGTAAGACAATGAAACACCAGAGTCTGACTCGGGCAAAAGTAGGTTCAGATGCTAGCTGCAGAGGCCTGGGAACTTGGTTATGTTATTCTTTGTATATAAACTGTCTATAATAGGGGTGCCTGGGTGGCTCAGTGGATTGAGCCTCTGCCTTCGGCTCGGGTCATGATCTCGGGGTCCTGGGATCAAGCCCCACGTCGGGCTCTCTGCTCAGAGAGCCTGCTCCACGCCCCCACTCTCTGCCTACTTGTGATCTCTCTCTCTCTCTCTGTCAAATAAATAAATAAATAATTAAAAAAAATAAACTGTCTATAATATAAGGATTTCCTTATAAGTATATATTATTATTTATCGAATGTAAGTTTCCTTACAGGACTGCTATTACTATTGCAGATGATGGAGAACACAAGAATATGACAGGAGTTTGTTAAAAAGTGGCTATTACCACTTTTCTGCTATAGTTTTTAAGCCTTAACAGCTTCTAATGCTGCCAAACTGACAGAACCTGGGGAGGAGTCTGAGATCTTGGCTAAGATATTCCAAAACTGGTTCTATAATATATTAGCTTACTTCTAATTTCTAAGCTGTATTAGAAATGGTTAAAGTTACCAAAAAGAGGACCCCTGGGTAAAATTGCACCATTAAAGCAAAGAAATGGCACTAGTAACTTGTAAAATATGACACTATTCTTGATTCTTTCTAAATTATATGCCACCTGGAATGCCCATTCCCCAAGATCTAGAGTGTTACTGCCAACTCGAGTAACATTTAAATCTACACCCCCCAACAGAAGTAAACAGTTGAATTTTTAACCTAGCACTTTAAGATAGAATCAATGTATTTTCATACATAAATAACCATTAACTCAAACTTCTGGTCCAGATGAGGACACGTGGCTTTATTTGTTCGTTTACCTATGTAGTATTTCATTTCAGTGTCATGTTTGTTCATGAGCTCAAGAAGTCGCACTTCTATCTGGGCTTGATTCAGAAAAGCCTTCTTGTTCTTTATTATTTTAATGGCAACCCATTCTTGCTCCACACGATCATAAGCCTTTACAACCTGAAAGAGAAAAAAATAGGAATAATTCTCTATTTCATTAGTGGCCAAAATTTCACATTTTCCAATTCACCTTAATTGTATATTTACCTAATTCTCACTTTTCTGACCTCCCTAAGCAGAAGAGGTCCTATTCATTTCCATTCAGTATCATTCATCTATTACTTTACAGTCAACTTTAAGTCAATCTTTTTATTTCTTTATTTGAGAGGTAGAGAGCATGAGCAGGATCAGTGGGAGAGGGGGAAGCAGACTCCCCACTGAGCAGGAAGCCCCATGCTGGGCAGATCCCAGGACCTGAGCTCACCTCAGATCACAATCTGATCTAAAGGCAGATGCTTGCTTAACCGAAATGAGCCACCCAGGCGCCCCAAAGTCAGTCATTTCAATTAACTTTCTTTTGTATCCTTACACGGTTTCTAAATATCCACAATATCGCTTTCTTTTTAACAAAAGCTAGATTAACTCTTTTCCTCCAGAAGTAAGTTATAAATCTTGTCAAGTGCTTTGGTTTGGAAGAATCTGATTTAAATCTCAAGTATACATGTAAAATATTTAAAAAGTTCTAAGTCATTTGAAAAATGCAGATAACTTCCTAACCTTAAATTAGATTTTCAGAAATTAAAACACAGGTATTTAACAAAAGACAAATCTAATACAAATTACCAGGGAAGTTCCATGATAAAAGTCAAAAGCCACAATGAGATGGTCTCGATAGTTATAAAATCAACGCCAAGAAAAATGGAGTGCTCATAAGCAAATCACTATGTACACCTCTTGTTTTAATTCTACTTGTGGAGCATAAGCAATAACACGGAGGACATTGGGTGAAGGAGTGAAGCGAGTTGGGGGAAATCGGAGGGGGAGACAAACCATAAGAGACTGTGGACTCTGAGAAACAAACTGATTTGGAGGGGAGGGGGTAGGGGGGTGGGAGAGCCTGGTGGTGGGTATTAAGGAGGGCATGTATTACATGGAGCACTGGGTGTGGTGAATAAACAATGAATCTCGGAACACTGAAAAAATAAAATTAAATTAAAAAAAAAAAAAGAAAAAAGGAGTTTCATATTATTAACAAAGATTTACATAAAAATTAGAAAATCAATGCACAGATAAAACTATCCACAAATCAGAAACCCACTATAACTGATTAAAAGTTAATTTATAATCTATGTAGTCTGAATAGGCAATAGCTTTATCCATTTTCTAGCACATTCACAAAGTCTGGAGATGTAGGGAGAACTCCTTGTGATTCCAATGTGTAGGCTGTCCCACTGGAGAAGAGAAGTGAATGGAACGCATGTTCCAAAATTTACATCAGTCAAGGTTAGATATATTGTCAAGGATTATATATGCTTCAGTTAAAATCAAACTTGGAATGAAAAATGCAATTATTTTTGGTTTCACCCAATTCTTAAAAATACAATCTATTGTCTTTAAAATCAGAGATTACCCCGGTAAACATCTGACCAAGTGGTTTTGATATTCTTCTGTTCACTGACTATACTACTGGCACCAAGAGCTGCAGTTCCATGCCCAGATCCCAGTGGTCTCCAGGACAAAGGCCACCAGCAGGGCCCAACTATTTAATGACTTAGCAAATAGTTAACTGGCTAAATGCTAAAGCAATGGTTTTTGACCCTGAATTACACGTTCAACAGGCAGTTTGAAAAATACAAATGCCCAGGATCCAGTCACAGAGATTCTGATTTAACTGGTCTGGAGCCTAGGCAACAGTCCTCTCCCCCAAACCTCCCTGGGAAATTTCAATGTGCAATCAGGACTGATAACAACCACTGGCAAAAGAAATGAAGGAGTCCCTTATATGACAAAGATCTGGCAGAGTTTAGAGAAAGTCTGACTAAGACAGTATGAAAGACATTACTTGGTGAGTGACAGGTCCAGAACCTGAACACCCTTCAGCTTAAGGGAGGCATCAGTCTGACCCGATGAGATGGGGTGTGATGTCAAAAAGGCCTCTATTTTCAAAGATCTAACTACGCTCACTTGCTCTTAGGAACTGAAGTATGAGAAAATTAAAGTGAAGAGGAGGAGAAAAACATCACTCTGAACACAAAGACTAAATATTTAGCGAAAACTTTAAAAAAAAAAAAAAGGAAAACAAAGTTTAGCATCTGCTGTATGGCCACAATTTTCATGGTGGACAACATATTAGTTAGAAAAATGTTCTGCTGGGGGACCTGGGTGGCTCAGTCATTAAGCATCTGCCTTCGGCTCAGGTCATGATCCCAGAGTCTCGGGATTGAGCCCTGCATCGGGCTCCCTTCTTGGCAGGAGGCTGGCTTCTCCCTTTCCCACTCCCCTTGCTTGTGTTCCCTTCCTCACTGTGTTTCGCTCTGTCAAATAAATAAATAAAACCTTAAAAAGAAAGGAAAAAAAATATCCTGTTGAAGGCAACTGCCTGAACAGGTGGTATAATTTTTAAGATGAAGACAGCAATCCCTCTATCTAGGGTGTGCATCGCCTTACTAAAATCTGGGCCTCAGAAATGCCTCTCCTTAAGAGACTGACAGAGAAGTAGAAGCTGCTTCTCACAAAAAAGTAGTATTTCATAAAGTGGGACTCCCAAACTACTGAGAAACCCTAACTCAAAGAAAAAGAGCTATGAATCAAGGAAAAGTTCTCTGAGTTATGTACAATTATCGAAATTCCTTGAAATCATGGAAAGGGGGAGGAATTTTATGCAGATGACAGGAGGGCCTTGTAAAGCCACAGTGGCATTACAGCGGTCCTTTAGCAACCTCGTGCAGATCTCCTTACAGGTTTAATAGCTGCCATCCTTGTGGGTCTACACCTGTGGCTGCTAATGACCTACCATATACTTTTTGTCCTAAGTATGATCAGACTGACACACGAAGAATTTTCCCTCACAGGTTGAGAAGAGGCATTTTTTCCTATCTCAGGGCAGGAACAGATCAGTAAGAGCATGTGTTCTGTACTTTTTAAAAAAAAAAAACCCCAAAACAAACATTTTTAAAAAGTAGTTCAGGAAAAGTCATTTTAAACCGCATTCTATCCTCATTACTGAGAAGTCAGAAGTGGTGTTTGGACTGCAGGTTAATAATGGACTCCGCACACAAAGTCTGCAAGGCAAAGGAGACTGGAATCAACAGTAAATCACACCTCAAACCAAACCAAACCAAACAGAGGGACTGGATGAGATAGGATTGACAAGCGAGAGTAGCTGGGGGTCCACAGCCAGAGAAAAAGTTTTTAAAAGAGCAAGGACGAAGGTGTGATGGCTCGCGGTCTGAGCATAGCTGATACAGCAGAGAGACGTATTTAGGGTTTTGTGCTTTGTAGCAAGGCCAGGTGGGCAGGTGAGGAGGGGAGAGCTTTGAGCGGAGAAGCAGCCAGAAACAAAGATAAATATCAGGTCTCTTGGGGAGCCCTTTCCTCACTCTGCCTGCTCGAAGCTGCTGAATGAGCCTTTCCATCACAAACAGCCCCATCACAGTACCAGCCATGCTGGTGCTGGGAGAACAGGAAGAGGAAATCCTAAAGACCATCTGCCCACTTCAAGGCCTGATAACAGAAGGTGACACAGCCCCTGGCTTTCCCAGACTCCAAAAAATAACAGGGCACCTGCTGTGCCAACGGAACTCTTATCTTTTTAAAAAGGATTATCAGGGGGCGCCTGGGTGGCTCAGTGGGTTAAGCCTCTGCCTTCGGCTCAGGTCATGATCCCAGGGTCCTGGGATCGAGCCCCGCATCGGGCTCTCTGCTCAGCAGCGAGCCTGCTTCCCTTCCTCTCTCTCTCTCTGCCTGCCTCTCTGCCTACTTCTGATCTCTGTCCATCAAATAAATAAATAAAATCTTTAAAAAAAAAAAAAAAAAAAAAAGGATTATCAGGCAGGAAGGTAACTACTTCTAGCATCCACATCGAAGAATCATCCAGACTATACGAGGGGGGCAATATCACGTATTAGTGATTACAACCCACCACTCAGTCATTAGTAAGATACGTACTAGAGAGCTGCTCTAGAAAGTAAATACAGACAAAGAAAGTCTAATGGAGTTTTAGAGCTGATGTAGTTTTACTAGCTTTAAAGAAGTATGATAATCCAAATGCTCACATATCCACTGTTTACAATATATTACAAACACTGAAAGCATACCACTGAGGGAAAGGTGTAACAACATGATTCACTATCAAGTTCTAATTTAGGAAATTCAGCATTTTCCATTAAATTACCTGTCCAAAGGAACCTTTGCCAATCAAGGAGTCGATTTCGTAACGATCCATCCACTTCTCTCCGTTTTTTACAATATAATCATAGTTATCATCATCATAACCATCATTGTAAACCTTCCGCTCCTTCTTATGACTAGAATCGTCTCCCTGGCCCTGTTGGTGTCGTCGCTTCTTTTTTGCATAGTAAACCTGAAATGAGAGTATACAGTGTTTACTCTATAATTTAAATCTTTGGCGGTTAGCAGGAGGCATATACATATATACATACACACATACACACATATTATATGTATCGAGAACATGTATGAGACAAGTCTGCCATCAGGAGGAAAGTGATGAATTTTTATTCTTTATAACAAATACCAAAAAATGAAATAAAGAACTTTCTACAGTTGCTATTAGAATTGCATAATAACACGGATATATAACCAATGAAAAATGTCTACCCTGAAATTCACTTTTCAATTATACTGTTTGCACATTTTATAAATAGATGTTAAGTGACTAGTCCAAAGTAGCCCATTCAAGAAGACTAACAGGGCCCAATTTACATTTATGTCTTAAACTAGGGTATAATTTCTATACAATGAGGGGGCACAGCTCTTAAGAGTGTAATATAAGGGATTTGGCGGGAAAAATATATAGAGATGCCAATGTAATCAGCAAACGCCAAACCAAATAAAGAGCATTTTCATCCTCCTCATGTCAATATCTTGCATGCCCTCTGCCAGTCCATCCCAATTTTACATTTGCTCTGAAGGCAAAAAGTTTTAAATATGAAAGTCAAGATAAATATGAACTGAAGTTCTACTAATACAAAAGACCCTCTGAGAAGTGTCCACTTTTTTAAGTCTCTAACAAAGTAACAATTAATGAAAAAGCAGCCACTCCCTCCTCCTCCCCACACTAAAGGCCGTAAATCCTGTGACTGATCATAACTGAGTTATTTTCCTTACTAAATTGTTTCTAAGACCAGTAAGAAATAACAGGTAGACTAGGGAATAGCCCAAGTAACTGGTAACTAACTGAGGAAACCATAAATTAACACTGCATAGAATAACATCAGAACAACTCTAGTTTACAAGATGGCAAAAACGGTTTAAAAACAAGCTTCAGCAAAGCTACCGTTTTTGGTGAAACTCTTGTTTCACCAAAGCTTAACAGGAGCTTTGTTAACAACTTCTTTAGTTTTGTTAACAGTTAACCAGATATTAACAAACTGACATGAATAAATTGTTAATAATTTATCAGATTTTTCAGGTAATCCAAAGCTAATTTGGCACATCTTTTCTAAATCATCAATTGTGTACAAAATCCAACTGAAAAGTGTTCCTCACGGAGTTCATTCTAATCATATCTTTCCACATTGCCACAGTAATATAACAATACTGGCATTAAATGGCATCAAAGTGCAGTAAAATTTACACATACGTAAGAACATCCTTTTAGTTAAACAGCTCTAGAGCTGCTAGAGCATAACCTTTTAGTGTGACAGGACATAGGGCTCCCATGAAGCGGAAAGGAAGCACAGGCAAGTCTACTCTTCTCCAGAAAAGCTCATTTCATAATTAATTACAAAGCTAGAGCTGAGGCTAGAAGCAAATGGCAATCAAGTCAAAGGTCTAAGACACCAGAAAAAAATTTATGCAAGTGAAGAGCCAAGTTGGAATAGGAGTAATTCAAAGTGCTAAGTGGGTTTTTTTTTTAATCTATTTACATTCACCAAAAAGGTTTTTAAATATCTTACAACAGAATAACACACATAAAAATTTAAAAGACAATTTAAAACCCTAGGAATATATATATATGTATATATATATAAAATAAATTAGGATAAATGCCTCTTAACTGGGTATAAATAGATCTCTGAGCTTCCTGATATCCATGGCAAAAACAGAAAGAGATATATAAAATTTAAGCAAAATTTTAACATATACATAATTTTACAGTGTCCTTATTCCCTTCCTTTCTTCTTTCTTGTTTTGGAGAAGAGTTATTACAGAATTAATATCTTATCATATATTAAAAACAACTTTGAAAAAAGGGAGAAGTTATCCCCAAATATCTTAATTTTTGGCAGTCTCTGTTAATAGATTTTTCTTCTACAATGTAATTATATTATCTAAAAATCTTTAACTTACCAATAATCATCAATATTACAATCACCGGGAATAAAGTTTACTATGTTTAAAAGGGCCACAAAATAACTTTTCTTTCCTGCTCTATTGCAAGATATGCTGTTAAATCAATGGTCTTACCTCATTAATATGCTTATATGTTTTGATCAAGTCAACAGAAAGTTTTCTCAGAGGAGCAGTTGCTGGATCACGGAAGCTTTGGGGCATCCGCCTCTGTAACATGACAATATCAGGCATCACCTTAAATAGACAGAAAAGACTAGCACTTTAACTATACTTCACTGGTGCAAATCCCCTCTCTTCTGTAACCTGTATGTATGTATTAAAAAAAAAAAAAAGATATCTACATTAGAACATTATACATTCTCTCTCAGTTATCTCTTTCAACCAGATTCCAGCGAAGAAACCACTGGAACAAATCAATGAAATGAGAAGATAATGTGCCAGCTGCCCAAGGCTTTCGAACTTGTTCCTCAGATTAAACAGTACAATCACAGACATGGCGGGGGCCAGGAGACACACAGGATGCTGCCCAAAGAGGGCTTCTCCACCATACAAGGAATAACTTCTGAATTATTCCTAAAGTCCGACCTGCTTGACAACAGAGAAACCCAACATGCAGCTTCCTAGGACAGGATTTCAGGCCCGACTTGGCACCACGAAGCAAAGCAAGGAGGCCACGGTGCAGGGACGGAGCACGGCACTGCTCCACTCCTGAGATCAAGAGTCAGACACAACCAACTGAGCTACCCAGGAGCCCCTGCAACTTGTTTCTTTAACACAACTGAGGAAATCATGCTCTCCACGGTAACATGCCTGACCTTACCCTCCACATTCTCATTCCCCCTTATCACCCAGCACCACCTGATATACTGTGTATTTACTCATTTACTGGCTTAGGCTACTCTCCTTCTCCTTCCACTACAGGAAAAACTCGGTGAGGTCAAGGATTCCTTTGTTCAGTGTTGTATTCCCTTTGCCTCAAACAGTGGTGGGCACATAGATATTTAATAAATATTTGTGGAATAAACAAATGAATCCATTATACCAAAATCTCTACTTACAATTACACTAGGAGCTGACCACAGGTAAGTTCCAGAGAACACCTTAAAGCTCATGGAACTCTTTTAAAAATGAATTTCAACCACATTCCATTAACAACCCTCCCCCCACCAATCCTAAACTGCATGTCCTTCGTCATCTAATAGGTCGTCAAGAGTTCAACCATGAGCTTCCTGCTAGACGGGGAATGGAGCAGGGACACCCTCCATATACATACCAGGAATGCTGCGACTAGCATGTCCATGATCCTAGACTACTGTTCATACCCCACTCCTCCACCCGTAAAGAGTTCCCACCAGGCGTCAACAGATCCTCAAAACCAATTAATTCTATCAAGGTACCTATAGTCACCAACACTAGCCATCTGGGTTCCTATCTAGCTCCCACAGACATTGAAGCCAGTTAAAATCTACTGAGCCAAAAGAGCCCCTAGCAGAGCTCCTCTCCAAGGACGCTCAGGTCAATCTGAGGGGCTGAGACAGCAAATGCATCATACCAAGGCCTCACTGAAATGTTTGGAGTCTTGGGATAATTAACCAACTTAACCCACACTAATAAAAAAGAGAGTTGCGCTGTAGGGTGAAAGTGGACATAACAAGAAAGAATCTCCATCCCCTTGGTATGAAAAGTTGGAGTGACCGTAGAGCAGTTTCCCAGGTGCATGTTCTCTGAAACTAATATTAACATTAGTTTCCTCTGCCTCTATACTCAAAGTCTAAAAGGCTGTTATCCAGATGGTAGATTTACTGAATTACTATAGTAAGTTATTAATTATCTTTTCCCATGCTCCTCTCCTCTTTAAGGTTCCAAATAAGGTTTAAGGGGGTAAAAATCTTCAATGGGAGTAACTATTTGTCTGAAAAGAGAGCAGCAATTAGTAAGAAAATTTGAATTGCTGAATTTTTCAAATATATACTGTTGCATTTTGCTGAATATAAACAGTATGTACAGTAAGGTTCACAGGATATTTTATTCTTATACTTTTCCTTAGAGATGTAATTTAATGAATAAACAATATTGGTAATAAGCATGTCAATTATCTTTATGTGAATGAATGCTATAAGCATTTAAAATAATGGAAAAGGTTTCCCTTCACAAATTTCCTTTTTCATTTTTTAATGCAGGGAATTTATTCCAACAAGACCCTTCTTGGGAGTGCTGGAATGCAGCTGCACCCCACAATGAGGGTCTCACAGAACCTCAACCAGTGAGATATTATGTTATAAATGTAAGAAAAGTTGATGGAAGGTATAACTGTTAGAAACAAATGAATTACTGAAGTAGTTAATAATAAAATAAGAGTAGCAGGTATTTGCCACGCACTCTGTTAGGAGCATACATATTTTTGCATCTTTCATATAATCCTCTCAACAATCTCCTGAGAATGAGTTGATTTCTTGTCACCAGCTTACAAATGGGGAACCTGAGTGTCGGATGTGAGCTGCTTGCCCGAAGTCCCACAGCTCAGAGGGCACAGGTAAGATGGGATCCAAGACCCTGAAAAGTCCCAGGCTCTGAACCATAATACGGGACAAGAGGTCCTGGTCACATTTAGGCTTCAATTCTACTCTTTTGATCAAGTCATTTTTAGGTTACTTGTAGGACAACAAAATTGAGTTATCTTTAATAAACACCAACAAAATAAGCATATGAATGTATTAAAAATTCACTTCATTAAAAATAAGTCATATACAAAACTTCAAATGTGTTTTGAGTTTTTAACTTGCCCATCTACAATTCCACTGATATTTAAACATCTGAGAAACAGAACCAGTGACTACATCTTTCCAGGAATAATTATGCTCACTCAAAACACAAAAATCACACAATCAAGACACCAATTTTGAATATACAGACATACAAGAAACTGGATAGGAACTAATTCTGACTGAGTAACGATGGTTTTCCTGCACTCAATACGAGTCTGTGCTGTGTGCCTGGCATTTCATAAAATATCACTAACCTCTTCCGAAGTTGGCCAACTTGGCCTATGAGGCCCAACTGATGAGCTAATTCTAAACACCTTACTTTTCTTACATACTTCTTGCAAGAGAAATTACTACCTCAGAAGAATCTGTATATATAAGTCAGATACATTCTACCCACAATCGGCCTTCATACCAGACTACATCTCATTGCTTCAAAATGGCACCTTGTACAGACCCAAGTGCCCAAATTATATGGCAAGAGCAAACTCAACTCTACACACTAAGTAACACTCCCTTCACTAACTTTCATTGCGATTTCATGTTAGGTAGCCAAATCTGTGTTTCGATACTGTGCTGCTGTAAGCACAATTAGGAAATAACATTTCCAAACACTCAGGTAAAAACCTACACTAGACTCAAGGCTGGCCCCGAAGAATTTGAGGCTTTCTCCCTTTCCCGATACTTCTCATCAGAAAGCCATGAGAAGGCAGAGGAACAGAGCAAGCTCCTTTCTTCCCTTCCACAGTCAGAAGAAAACCCGTGGTGTTCAGAGAACCCAGGAAGGAGCTCATCAGGCTGTTCCCGTCCCTCAGCCTCCCCACCTGTCCTCACAGCAAAATGGTCAGTTGATGAGCTATCCTCCTGTTGCCTCTAGTTTTTAGAGGCAACAGGAGCTCTCTGGCTCTGGAACTAGAAAAACCCACATTCCCAGTGCTCACCGTTCTTGGACCTTGCTGGGTGAAAACACAGATCACAGAGTGAAGAAAAGCATAGTCTGCATACCCTGCTTAAAAAAGTTACAAGAGCTTAAACAATCTCTGTGTTTTTTTCCTGTAAGGATTCCAGAGTGTACGCTTCAGGAATTTATTTAAAACCTGTCTTTCAGCTTAATAATACCTACTCTATCCATTTTTTATATTCATCTCGTATTTTCATATATAACGAAGAATTAGAAGCACTGTATTTTGCCTTCCTTGCTATTCTGAGAGTGACCGCTACAGCTGAAAGCCACAGGTAGCACACATCCAGAGTCCCGGGAGAGTCTACGAACTATGGAAGGTACTGTGAGAATGCTCACGGCGCAAAAGGACCGAGCATTCCTAACATCAAGCCTACTTTTCTATGATTCCTTCTACTACATCTCTCCTGCTTCCTAAATTTATCTTTTGAACAAAACTGGGTTTAAAAACCTATATAAGACACAGCACTCATATAACCAGAAATAAAATGTTAACGTTCGCTCATTTCGATTATTTGTTCAATAAATCTTTTGGGGAGAAAAACATACTGATAGGATGACTATTAAGAAACCACTGAAATCAAGTAATAAAATTATAGAAGTTTACAGCTAGACTTAAGTTTAGAGAAGCTTAGGTTTAGGGGGTTACAGTCTAAGGTCCCAATCTCACCTGCAAGGAACAGAAAGAAGGGCCCATGTGACCTGACTCACCTCACACAACCACATCGTGAGTCAGGACCTTGAGCCCGTGTTTTAGGACCTCCAGACCATGCCGTATCAGTGCAGTTTTAGTGTTTTATACTTCAGTAATAAGAAAAACCTCTTCTAATCTGCCTCATTAGGTTCAGAAATTCCCTGGGGCTGGCAGAAGTATCTGGCTGAATACTGTTACTTAAAAGACATTCTTTTTGTATCGTATGAATCCTTAAAAATATTTTATAACTTAAAATGGAAATACTAAATGGACTATTTATCTTAAAATCACCCCCAAATAAGATGTTAGCTGTATCTAAAAACAGGTACTGCGCTAACTGAATTACCTACTACAATAATAAAACCACAAAAGTAACTGTAAAGGACTGCAATGTTTTCCAGCACTCCACAGGCCCCAGGAGCTACAGAACAGAAGAGCGCTGTGTCTAAGAAGAAAAAAACCTGGGCTGGACCTCCAAGTCTACTGCTTGAACACTTGGAGAAGTCACAGATGGGAGCTCAGTCTGTTCAGCTGTAAAATACTAAAAACAGGTACCCTGCCTAAGAGGCTGCTTTTTGAACTGAGAGTTTCTTTAAAGTACTGGTGACTCTTGACCAATGCGGGAGTTAGGAATACCAACCCCCACCCCTGCCCCATGCAACTAAAAATCTCTCCAAAAACTTACTTACTGATAGCCTACTGCTGACCAGAGCCTTGCCAATGAACTGCTGATTAACACATACTTTGTATTTTATATACTCTATCCTTAACCATAAAGTAAGCTAGAGAATGGAAACTATTACTAAGAAAATCCCAAGGAAGAAAAATATATTTACATTACTATACTCTATTTATCAAAAAAAAAAAAAAAAAAAAAAAATCCACGTGTAAGTGGGTTTGCTCAATTCAAACCCATGTTGTTCAAGGGCCAACTGTACAATACAAATGATTCCTTGTGCTATTACTACTTTTTGGATGTCCACAGAACTTTTTTCTGGTATATACACACTTTCCAGCTTTAAACATTCAACTGCTCCAATTCTCAAACATAAACCTTCTCAATTTACTACATAAAACAAATTCTTAAGTCTTGTCATAATTCACCTTACTATTAACTGTGAATGTTATTCACATGCTACATACACTTTATAAATGTAAAGCCAGATCAAGTGCAGACAAAAATCTTAATAAATATAAGGGGTGCCCCTCATCATAATGCTAGTTTACTCAGCCAACTGCCTATTAAAGCCACATGCCATTGAATTAAAAATAAAGAACATTTCCTATAAATAATCCAGCATAAGAAATACACTGAAATTTTCCAAGTTTTTGATCATCACTTGATATATTAAACAACCTAAAGAAAACAGTGGCAACCCCAATTCCAAAGTGCATGGAAAAAAATCCTTGGTCGGCGTTCATCATACCCTCCCATCCTGGTGGAGAAAGAAATTTTACCTCAACTATAGTTAGTAAAAAAAAAAATTCTCCCAAACTAAAAAGCAATGCAGTGAGTGCAGTTAATTCAGGAAATATTATGAATGCACACATACACACAGGCACACACGTATACATGTATGTATAGCAAGAGATTTCCACATTTATTGTTAACTATCCATTAAAAAAAAAAAAAGGCTGACTCTCTAGTCTGAATATGAAAATGACCAGCAAGATTAATTTGCTTTACATTCTTTTTCATTTTAAGAAGTTTCATACATGCTGTGATAAATGTGCACTAAAGTAGTTTAAACAGCATAAAATCAGCTCTGTAAGTCTGTGATAATGGAATCTCACTTGTTTTCCTTTAACTTTATTTTTCTTACCCACCTTTTCATAAAAAAAGCTTTCAGTTTATTTTAATTAATATTTAATTATTTAAATATTATAATAAATAACTTTTCTCCTCCCTATTACAGAATGAGAGAATGTGTCTGTGGTTTATGAGTGTTTTTTAATTAAGTGGGATACATAGAAAAAAGAAAAAGCCAACAAACTTTTGAATGCATACTTATCATCCCTCATGTGGCATGTCGAACTGAAAACCACTCAATCATTTTTGTCTGTTTACTGTTGTCCCACGTTAAGGAATAAACCACCACACCAACAAATCATTTCTGCTACATCGTAAACTTACCTGGTTAGTTAGAGGTTGCTGAATCTGGTCAGAATAAGATAAGGCAGAAACCTGTTGGTCACTTATGTTTGGCTGGCGACGGTCACTGTACTGATGTGAATGGGGCATCTGTCCAGCCATCTGAAGGCCAGCAGCATGGAATGAAAATGACGGTGCGAGCCGAACAGATGAAGGTTTGCATGCTGAAGTCTCTCCTCCTACAAGAAGACAACAAGGGAAGTTGAAAGGATGTATTTATAGCCTAAGGTCTCCATCTTTTGACCTATCTGATAGTTCTTCCCTAAGGACCTTAGGATGTTTGGTAATACTAAAAACTTTTAAAACTACAAAGTGCAAACAAGAACGTGCACTTGACAAAACAGTTCTTTGTTAAATGTCATAAAATATAGTGATTCAAGTGTCTATAAATCTGTAGTCAGAGAAAACCTTAAGGAAATCTTTTTGTAAAGCAACAAGATAACCACCCTTAATACTTATTTTCACGTATGAGCTTTTCATCACGCGAGAACTGTTCAAGTTGCACAAGTCATCTCTGATTTCTCGAGAAAGCCCTCTCCAGCGGATCAGCTCCTTAGAAACCAGTGCAAAGAAACACTGCTCAGATACTGCTTTGTACCTGCCAGGTGTATGCAATCAATACTCCAGCATCCCGCAAACCAAGTGAAACTTCTGTCTTCATGGTGCTCACCACTAACACCGGTAATTCAAAGTTAAACAGACAACATACAGGCACAAATTCACAGGACGCTGGATTCCTCCAAACTCTTCTGACACAGTGCTAAGAGTACCCAGAGCAGGTAAGCTCACCCCAAGCATGAATGGCCGATAATGACCCCACAGGGAGGCTGGGACCACAGCCACAATTTTCATTGTAGACACAGAAAATTAACACTTGGTCAAAGTTACGCGGTAGTCAATTAATAAAAGTTAATTCTTCCTTTAAAAAAAGAAAGAAAAAAAAAGAACTTTCTTCTTAAATTCAACCACACTTTTAATCACAGACTAAAGCCAAAGGCAAAGTGTCAAACCCTGGTCAACGAACTGAGGACCCAGAATTCTCGAGCTTGTCTTCCTGGATAAACCAGCTACCTCCAACCATAATTTCCACACCTAATTTCCTAAAAAATAATAGTAGTATCTACCTCAAAAGCCTGTGGTGAAGGTTAAGTGCTTTCATGTGTAGAACACTTAGAACAGCTCTGGCAAACTAACAGATGGTCCAACACCGGCTGCAGCCGCTGCAGTGCGATGGGAAGGACGACGGAGAGAGCACCCGCTTCTGCGGCGCTAACAAGCTCTACCGGAATGTCGCACAGACTCCCCAAACCGAAGAGGACAAAGCTCAATTCTCTCAAAATGCAAGTTCCACTTCTATTTTCTACCACAGAGAATGACACCGCCTTCCTCCCCATCAAGCAGAATCAAGGCTCCCGGAGTCGAGTGCGAGTTCTTGTCCACCACAGACCAACCTCATGCAAACAGCTGCCCCACCTTGCTGCTTCCACCTCCTGCGGAACATCCAAATACAATCACTTCTCATCTCCACCAACCCCTGTCTCACTTAGAGGACTAAAAGAGATTCCTAAGAGCTCTTTTTATCTTTGCCCATTTCTGGACTCCTTCAGTAAGATACTAGAGTGACTCTTCCAAAGCGCACATCTTGGGTCCTCCTCCCTTACTGAAACGTACCGATAACCTGCCTTGGCACTGGCTTCAGACCTTAGCTTCTGTCTCCCTCCATTACAGAGTGAGCTCCCTAACGGACCCGCAGTATATGATCAGTAAGTATTTGCTGAATAAGTAAACGGACAGTGTTACCATCAGGATAGATGGGGTAATTTTCTAAACATTTCATTACTTACACTAAAAAAATACAGTCAACTTAATTACATAGAATAACTGTGTTCAGTTAAAAAAACAAAACAAAACCCTGGGGGTGGGGAGACACCTGGGTGATTCAGTGGGTTAAGTGTCTGCCTTCAGCTCAGGTCATGGTATCAGGGTCCTGGGATAAGCCCCGTAGCACTGGGCTCTCTGCTCAACGGGGGAGTCTGCTTCTCTCTCTCACTCTACCTCTGTCTCTCTCTCTCTCTCAAATAAACAAATAAAATCTTTTTTTTTTTTAAACCTGGAAATTTTATCACAAGGATATATCGAGGACGCTCACAAAGACAGGGAAAAATGTTTAATCTGGTATTGTCTGCAATAGCAAAAAAAAAAAAAAAAAAAAAAAAAGAAACCTAAATGTCAAGTAAGAGAGGAAAAGGGAGGCTTTACATTTGCATGTTAAAAATCACAAAAAAACTGGGAAGGAATATAAACATACATAAAAAAGATTGAGTTCTCGGATATATAAATAGCTCTTATAAATAAACAGTAAAAACAGTAAGGCCCTAAATGACAAATTAACCACTTTAAGGTCTTGGTTTCCCCATCTATGCAGCAGAGCTATTATTATCCTAACCTATTCCCTTAGGTATATTATGAAGTTTTTAAAAATAGGATACCACAAGTAAGTCATGAATCCTAGTACTATAAAAAAAATATATTAGCTTCTCTATTATCAATGTCATTATTATAGACTATGTTTAAACTTACTTATAATATATAGAAATAAGTACAAAAATCATTAGTATATAGATTAAATAATTATAATCAACTGAACCTGTGACAAGGAAAAAAAATGGCCATCACACCAGAAATCCCCCCAACACCACTCCATGACCCGCCCAATCAATACCCAAGCCCCCCAAGTTACAATCTTGATCTCCAAACCTGATTAGTTACAACTTTACAAGTTCACTTAATGTTACATTTATAAATTGTGGTTTGTTCATTATCATTACTTTATGGTATCCCATTATGTGAAGATGTTCTGATTTACTTATCTCTTTGACTTTTGACTTACATTTGGGTTATTTCCAGTTTCAGATATTATAAATAATGCCACTTGGGGGACGGGGGCGCCTGGGTGACTTAGCTGTGAATCATCTGCCTTCCACTCAGGTCATGATTTCAGGGTCCTAGGATCCGGTCCTACATTGGGCTCCCTGCTGAGCAGCAACTCTGCTTCTCCCTTTCCCTCTGCCTGCGGCTCCTGCTCCCCCTGCTGTGCTCTCTCTCTGTGTGTCAAATAAATGAAATCTTTAAAAAAAAAAAAAAATGCCACTAGGAAGAGTCTTGTTCTCTTTTCGTACACACAGAGATGCTGTTCTGCTGTTTTTCCAGGTTTTAAAAATTGCTGTTTTTCCCCTAGCAGTTTATGAAAAATCTCCTCTGCTCCCTTCCTTCACTAACACTTGGAATCATTATTCTTTCTGATTTTCAGCCATTGCTGGAGGTGTGTAGTGGTACTCCACTAGGAGCTGAACTTGTATTTCCAGTGACTATGATCTTTTCATTTATTTAAGGCCAGTTAAATATCTACTTCTGTGAAATGCCCATTCAGGTTGCTTTTCCACTATTCTATCAAAAAAGTCGTTTTCTTTTACATTCTAAAACCTAAAACATTGAATTTTAACATATTTTGGGCATGAGCCCTTTATTGGTGCTAAGTAGTTTACATTATCACCCTTTTTTTTTTTTTAAAGATTTTATTTATTTATTTGACACAGACAGAGATCACAAGTAGGCAGAGAGGCAGGCAGAGATAGGAGGTGAAGCAGGCTCCCCGCTGAACAGAGAGCCCGATGCGGGGCTCGATCCCAAGACCTTGAGATCATGACCTGAGCTGAAGGCAGAGGCTTAACCCACTGAGCCACCCAGGCCCCCCATTATCACCCTTTTAATGGTGTTTTTTAATCAGCACAAACTCTTAATTTGATCATCTTTTGTTTTAGAATTAGTATTTTTGGTGTCCATTTAAGAAATGTTCCCTTACACCAAAGTCATCAAGAAATTCTGTAATCTTCTCGAGTTTCACCATTCGCATCTAGATGGACAAATGCTCTTAGATTGGATTTCTACGCATGTGTGCCAGAGAAAGGTTGCATTCCTCCCACCAACCCCAAATGGACATTTGATTTACTCAGGACCAATTATTAAAAAGATAAACTTTCCCTGCTGCTCCACAAGGCCATCTTTATCATAAATGACATGCCCATACGTCCTTAGATCTGGTTTTAGATTCTCTATGCTGTTCTACTGGACACAGGCCTACCTAGATTTCTTAAAACTTTGTGTAAGAACCAGTTTTACAAGTTTTAACATCCAGTAGAGAATTCTGTGCTTTCTCAAGAATAGTTTGGTTATTCTTAGCCCTTTGCATGCCCATGTATGATTTAGAATTAGCTCATCAAAATCAAAAAACAAACAAACCTATGTTGGCACTGTGGCTGAAACTGCACACTGTCCAATCAATTGATTGCAACTGATCCAATCAATTACGTACATCAAACTGAACAGTGGACTGTTCAATAACAGAGTTTCTTTTACAATGATGAACTTAACAGCATTATCTAAAAGGCAGCTACTAGCACTACTGGGCATTTGAACAGTTTTATTCTTTTCCCTCCTAATCCTTATCCTTCCTTTCACCTTATTCTACTTGCTGTTGTCCCTCCAACGTAATGATGATCAGAAGAGGCGAAACAGGTACCACTATCTTTCTACTGTTTTACTCCCAATCCCAGAAAGTAAGCTTTCAACATTTCTCCAGTACTGTGGTTGCTGCAGGTTTTTAATTGATAACCATTATCAGATGAATCAAGTTCCTTTCTAGTCCTAGTTTGCTAAAACGTTTTCCTCATAAATGGATGCTGCATTTTACTAAATGCTTTTTCTGCACCCACTAAGTTGACATCAGTTTTCTGATCTACACTGTTAACATGGTGAAATACACTGATTTTTGAATGTTAAACTAACCTTGCATTTCCTGGAACACAGACTGGTCATGATTATCCTTTTGTGATAGATTCACTGGCAAAACCATCTGGTCTTGGGAGTTTTCTTTGTGGGTAGTTCAAAGTTAGTAATTAATTAAAAGGTGTCTTTAATAGGACTACTCAAATTCTTTATTTCCTGGCGTGTCTGTTCTGATAAGTTGTAGTTTTCTAACAGTATGTCTCCATCTACATTTGAAACACACTAGCATCAAGCTCTTCATTATACCCTCTAAGCTTTTCTATCAATGCAGGTATAATTGTAGTAATATCCCCTTCAATTCAGCTCTGGTTATTGAGGCCTTCTCCTACCTTGT